CGTTATTGAGAGTGCATTTCCTTGTAATGCAATCCCATTAAACATTTTCTAGAGGGGAGGAGAGAGGGGAGGGGAGGGCAGAGGGGGGGAAGGGAAAGAGATGAGACTTTGGGAAACTGCATCTCATCATGTTGACTTTCTTAACCAGCTGATCAGCCCAGGAAACCTCAAGCTTTCAGCAGAAGAAACGCAGCCACTGCAAGTCGCCGTCCTTTAATACATATCTGAAATGCTCGCAAGACAGAGGAAGGGAAGATGGGAGGAGGGAGTGAGGGGAGGAAGGAGGGAGGGATCGATAGATAGAGCGAAAGAGAGAGAAAGAAAGAGATCACATCCGTGTTTTTAAGACAAATTAAATCAGCTGAGAGATTGACGTGCAAGACACTGCGGTACATCATCACATGGAACTGGAACACATACACACACACATGCACACACGCTTGTTTGTATGTATGTATGTTTGTATGTATGTATGTATGTATGTGTGTGTATGTATGTATGTGTGTGTGACTGTGTCTTTATGTATGTGTCTCTGTGTCTGTCTCTATGTCTGTATGTGTGTGTGTGTGTCTGTGTGAGTCACTGTGTGTGTGTGTGTGTCTGTGTGTGTGTCTCTATGTCTGTGTCTGTGTGAGTCACTGTGTGTGTCTGTGTGTGTGTCTCTATGTCTGTGTCTGTGTGAGTCACTGTGTGTGTGTGTGTGTGTGTGTGTCTGTGTGTGTGTGTCTCTATGTCTGTGTGTGTCTGTGTGAGTCACTGTGTGTGTGTCTGTGTGTGTCTGTGTGAGTCACTGTGTGTGTGTCTCTATGTCTGTGTCTGTGTGAGTCACTGTGTGTGTGTGTGTGTGTGTCTGTGTGTGTCTGTGTGAGTCACTGTGTGTGTGTGTGTGACTGCACTGATCTCCTTGGCTGGTGTTTGCTCCTTATTATTTTGCTTGTCCATTTCCTCAGCAAAACCAGGCGAGTCCAATCCAACCAGAAGGGGCTCCAGGTTGGCAACAAATTAAGATTATACACCTCTTGGCCCCCTTAAACCACGCCTAAAGCCCACCCCAGGCTCAAACAGTACTCAAGGAAAGAGACACACGCATTAGACAGAGAGAGAGAGAGAGAGAGAGAGCGATGGATAAACAGATGGATAGATAGATAGATATGAACCCCCCCCCACCCCCACCCCGCCACCACTCCATCTCCTTTTGCAGTCTGTCCCTCGAGCAATTAAATCATATTGAGAAATATATTGATGCGTTTTCCAAACCCTGCGATTTTTATTTAAAAAAATTAAATGTATATATTTTATACATATATATATATATGTATACATAAAGAAAAGTCATGAATTCACTTGACACGCCAGCCAGACATTAAGCAGGTGGGTTGGAAGTGAATCGGATTGAAAAATAGAGCCGGTTCTGGATGGGAAATATTAACGACCAGATTCTCTCTCTCTCTCTCTCTCTCTGTCACACACACAGTGTGTGTGAGAGAGAGAGAGAGAAAGAGAGACAGAGAACGAAAGAGAAAAGGAGAAAGAGAGAGAGAGAGAGAGAGAGAATCAGAGGCAATGTATCCATTAATGTATCAATTCTTCGGTACTGTATCATTAATGTATCTGTTCCCAACGCGTCGGACACTAAATGTCTTGACAGCGATACAATGTATCCACTCAGACACCAACACAACGCGTATCGATCGCGACACAATGTATCCACAGATGTATCGGTGCAAATGTATCCGCGAATGTGTCCACCCCCAATAAATGTGGATACAATGTATCCACAAATGTATCGGTTTTCCCCCCAATACTCACCGGGCACTGAGAACTGAAATGCTGCCCTCCCCGGACCCCCCGCAGCTCAGCTCTCTGCCGAGTCACTCTCCGGTCCCCCGGTGTCAGTCTGTGACCGACTGAGGACTGACTCCACGTTGTCTCCGCTTCTCTGATGGCGAATGATCTCACGCCCCGACTGAACATCGGGGGCTGCGTCACCGAGAGAGGGAGGAGGAAGCCCAGTGGCTCTGGGCTGGGAGGGGAGGGGAGGGGGGGGGGGGGGGAGGGGTGAGGGGGAGGAGGGAGGGAGGGGAGGGGAGGAGACACGACCAACCGCAATGGAAGCGTCACTGTGTATATGTGTGTGTGTGTATATGGTAACTGAGAAATACTGTACCTCCATATCCAGCGAACTGCTTCTTCCCTCTCTGTGATTCTGGTGTGTGGGGGTGGAGGGGGTTGTGTGGGGTGGGGGGGGGGGAGGGGGTTGTGTGGGGTGGGGGGGGGGAGGGGGTGAGGTTACATGTTAATGTAATAAAAATCTTTGCATTCGATATAGCAAGCGCCTTCTTATCACGTCTTCGAGACGTCTCAAAGCGCTTCGCAGAATACACCCGTGAAGTGGATTGGCTATATTTTGGGGGGGGGGGTTTGAAACGCTGCAGCCAATTACGCCCACGTCGTCCCCACAAACAGCCGTGGATTGAGTGACCACGTTATTATTTTTTACAATTTTTTTCAAGGGATTATTACCCCAGGAAGAGCGATTCGTCAACCAACGAACAACCGGGTTTCCCATTCGCTGCTACGTAACCAGGCGTGCGGAGTAAGGAAACTTGCCTAAGGTTTCGCCCAGACCGGCAATCAAACTCGCGTCCTCTCGCTTACGACCACAACAACTTGCGTTTATATAGCGCCCTTCACACAGGGTAGTGTCCCAGAGCGCTTGACAGTGGCGGAATCTGACACCAAGCGAGGGAGAGAGGTATNGGGGGGAGGTGACCATAAGTACGATCAAAAAGGAAGGTCTTTGAGGCACGATTTGAAGGAAGGGAGGGAGGGGGCATGGCGGAGGGATCGAAGGAGAGAGTTACAGAGTTTCGGGGCATAGTGGGTGTAGGGATGGCTGCCAATGGTGGAGCGGAGGGGACGAGGGACAAACAGGAGGCTGGAGCCAACCAAGTGGAGGCAGTGTGTGGTGGAGTGAGGGGTAAACAGTTTGAATAGGGAGGGAGGTGCCAGGGTATGAAGGGATATGAAAATGAGTGAGGAACTTGAAATTGATCCTTTCGGTAACTGGGAGCCAGTATAGCCAGTCAAGGACTGCGGTGATGGGGGTACAGAGTTTTATGTGGGTGAGTATCCAGGCAGTGGAGTTTGGGATTAATTGTATTTTGTGTATAGTGGAGCGGGGAGACCAGCGAGGAATTGGAATAGTCCAGCTGGGAAGTGAAGAAGGTCTGGACGAGGGTTTTGGCTGCGTTGGCTATGAGGTATGGACGGAGGCGGGCAATATAACGGAGTGGGAAAAAAATCGGTCCTGGTCAGGGAACAGATGTGGGGGGTAGAAAAGAAAGCTTACGAGGTGAGTGCTCTAAACACTAAGCTACAGGACTCCACAATTGACTCCATAAATAGCCAACGACACTGGCAGAAACTCCCATTTCATTTTCATTAGACCAAGTCCTGCTGTGGGTATTGAACCCACAGCCTTCGATTTCAGAGGTGAGAACGCTGCCCACTGAGCCGGGCTGATAATTATCACATTGAATGACTCTTGAAACTATGCTAATTTCACATCTATCATAAAACAGTCTTGCATTTCGAAGTAGATGGCCAAAAATAAACAGCTGGTGCTGGGAAACGCTACTGATATCTTTGCAAACAACTCATCTTCCAGGAGATACGCAGGGGATTACAGGATTACTGGTCTTTCTACCGAATCACGAGTCTCCTGGTAACGGATGATTATAAACAGGGATATGAGATCACTCCTAAATATCATCACTGGCAGCTGAGGGTTGGTAGAGATTAATGAAAGGCAGCGATTAGTAAGTACACAGTGAACAAACTGCTTCACCCAAACTTCTGCTCAGCCTGAATCACTGCCTCTTTCTGTGACAACGTTAGCTTTCGATGTTCCTTGCATTTGATATAGCGCCTTGTTGAGGCGTCTCAAAGTGCTTCACTAAATGTACTGCAAAGTGGAGTGACTGTGTCTTTTGTAGGTGAAACGCAGCAGACAGTTGCGCACAGCAGCATCCCACAAACACTCCTGAAGCGAATGGCCAACTACTTGTAGCTGATAACAATAAACTCAAAGGGGGTGGGAAAGTGGTGAGGGTAATTTGAGACACACATCCTGGGTGAAAGGTGCAAATGTGAATGCAAGCTGTTGCGTAAAGAACAACAAATTACAATTGTGCAATGCCTTTCACGTCGGGAGGACATCCCGAAATGCATACTTGTGGTCAGTTCCAAACGTACAAGAACGAACAGTGGTACAGTACATTATTTCTCGAGGTGGGTGGTTTGCTGGAGTTACACAGCACACGCAGGGCAGTGGACGTAACGCGCTATTCTTTACTCGGAATCCCAAAGAGCTTATGAATAATTGAGCTGCAGCAACTGTGGCGGTTGGGAGTGGTAACAGCCTGATGCAACCCTCTAATTACAGCACCAGCTCAGTTGCTGCCTTAAGGGCACCATCACATAGTCACCGCATCGCAGCTCGCTGCAAAAAGGCAGACTTTTACTCTATGATACTCCTTACATTTAATTTAACGTCCGGTCACGTCACTGACACGTCCTAAAGCGCTTCACAGCGCATACGGTAAAATGAATTGTGTGTATATTTTGTGGGGGAACAACAATATACATTCAATGAAGAGCTTTGAGATGTCCTTCCAGTGTGATAAGGCGCTACATGTATATATATATATAAATATAATAAATTGGTCACTTCAACCCACGACTGTCTGTGGGACGCTGCTGTGCACAATTGGCTGCCGCGTTTCGCCCACAAAATGCACAGTCACTACACTTTGCAATATAGCGAATGAGACGTGATAAGGCGCTGTATCGAATGCCAGGATTAGTATTAATTATTATTACAATAAATTCACGGATTATTATGATTTGTTATTAAATGGCCACAGATGGGAATCTGCGCATGCGCCGGCGGGGCAGGAGGGACGGGACCACCGCGATCGCTTCCGGGTTTGGGACTCACGTCAATCAGCGGCTCCCGGTGCCGGTGCCCATGAACGGCGCCCTCTGCACCGCCTGTTTCTTCCTGGTCACCGCAGCCGGTAACAGCAATGCCGGGGCCAGGGAGCTGCGGGGCCCGGACATGGCTCTCTACAGGTCAGTGCGGCACTGAGTGACCAGGCGGTGTGTTACTGGTCTGCCTGCCCTGCCCTGCCTGCCCTCCCTGCCTGTCCAACCTGCCCTGCCTGCCCTCCCTCCCTGCCCTCCCTGCCTGCCTGCCTGCCCTGCCTCCCTGCCCTCCCTGCCTCCCTGCCCTCCCTGCCCTCCCTCCCTGCCCTCCCTGCCTCCCTGCCTGTCCTCCCTCCCTCCCTGCCCTGCCTCCCTGCCCTCCCTGCCTCCCTGCCCTCCCTCCCTCCCTCCCTGCCTGCCCTGCCCTCCCTGCCTCCCTGCCTGTCCTCCCTGCCCTGCCTCCCTGCCTGTCCTCCCTCCCTGCCTGTCCCCCTCCCTGCCTGTCCTCCCTGCCCTGCCCTGCCTCCCTGCCCTCCCTGCCTCCCTGCCTGCCCTGCCCTGCCTGCCCTGCCTCCCTGCCCTCCCTCCCTCCCTCCCTCCCTGCCTACCCTGCCTGTCCCCCTGCCCTGCCTGCCTGTCCCCCTCCCTCCCTGCCCTCCCTGCCTGCCCTGCCTCCCTGCCCTCCCTGCCTGCCCTGCCTCCCTGCCTGTCCCCCTCCCTGCCTGCCTGTCCTCCCTCCCTCCCTGCCCAACCTGCCTGTCCTCCCTCCCTCCCCGTCCTCCCTCCCTGCCCGTCCTCCCTCCCTCCCTGCCTGCCCTGCCTCCCTGCCTGTCCTCCCTCCCTCCCTGCCTGTCCTCCCTCCCTCCCTGCCTGTCCTGCCTCCCTGCCTCCCTCCTTGCCTGTCCTCCCTCCCTCCCTGCCTGTCCTGCCTCCCTGCCTCCCTCCCTGCCTGTCCTCCCTCCCTGCCCTCCCTCCCTGTCCAACCTGCCTGTCCTCCCTCCCTCCCTGCCTGCCCTCCCTGCCTGTCCTCCCTCCCTACCTGTCCAACCTGCCTGCCCTCCCTCCCTCCCTGCCTGTCCTCCCTCCCTGCCTGTCCTCCCTTCCTGCCTGTCCTCCCTCCCTGCCTGTCCTCCCTTCCTGCCTGTCCTCCCTGCCTGCCTGTCCTCCCTGCCTGCCCTATGTACCTGCCTACCTGTTTGCCCTGCCGATCTGCCTGTCCTACCTGCCTGTCTTCCCTACCTACCTCCCTGCCCACCTGCCTGTCTACCTACCTGTTTGCCCTGCCTGTCAGTGTTTCAGACCCAAGCTGGGGGTCAGGATCAGGGTGTATGGAGGACAGAGGGGGGAGGAATATGATCGAAGGCACAGTCGAAGAGGAGGGTCTTGAGATAGGTTTTGAAGGAGGCGAGGGAGGGTGCGAGGTGGAGGGACTGCGGGATGGAGTTCCAGAGGGTGGGGGGCAGAATGGCTGAAGGCCCGGCCGCTGATGGTGGGGTGGGCGAGATGACGGACATGAAACAAGCCGGAGCCTGCTGAGCAGAGGGAGCGGACAGGTTGGTAGGGGGTTAGGAGGTCGCAGAGGTAGAGGGGGAGTAAGGCCATGGAGGGGTTTGAAGGTGAGAATCAGGACCAGCTTACCTACCTACCTACTGTGCGCAATTGGCTGCCGCGTTCACCCACAAATATACAGTCAATTCACTTTACAGTGTGTTCTGTGAAGCGCTTTGGGACGTCCTCCCGACGTGAAAAGCGCTATATCAAATGCAAGGATTATTATTATTATTACTTGCCTTGCTATGTGCTTGCCTGGTATTCTGCCTGTCTACTTGACTGTCTGCCTACCTATCTGCCGGCCTGTCTGACATTCTGTCAGTCAGTCTGTGTGTGTGCTGCACACTCCCAGAGTCCTGCCTGGCTCCCCTGTTTCAGGACAGGTGACATCGCTGATCCCAACAATACAATGCAATGGACTGGAATCCAACTACACAAAAACCTCCTGTGTTTTGTGTTACGAAAGATCATCTGTATTTTTAATGCTGAACTTGAACTGCCTGCTAGGCTGGGGGAACGAGAATGAGGCTAACAAGAGCAAAAATTTGCACCAACGCAGTTCCTTTTACACAGGAGGACGTCTCAAAGGCTTTACGGAGACAGAGCGGGAGCCTGAGCTCATAGGTGGCGGGCGAAACTATTCTATATAAATAGATGGATGTTGTTGTTGTTGTGGTGGTGGTGGCAGAGCGGAGGGAGTGGGTGGGAGAGGAGCAGGTGGCGGAGGTAGGCAGATTAAAGCAAGACTTGAAATTGGAACAGTTCCTCTTCTCGCTTTCCTGTGGAGATCCCGTGACATGATTGGAAAAGAAACAACAGTTTCTCTCGCGCCCTGGCTGACTGCCCCCCCCCCCGCCCCCCACCGATCGATTGGTCATTTGGCTCGCAAACACGATTTGAACGGAGCCTCTGTGTTTGTTATCAATAAGATAGATTGTGTTAACCTTGATCCTCTCCTAAATAAAGAAGAACTTAATGTGCACACGCCATCATTAACCTCTGACCTGCTGAATAAACAGGAACAGCTTTGCGACCGTAATGCAATCTTCGCATGTTGTACAGGTGTTTGAAAACATCCTGAATCTCTCCACAGGGAATTGCTGTCAGTTGTAGTCACCTTGTGTTTGTAGGTGATATGGCAGCTGATTTGCATACAGCCATGTCCCATAAACAGCAGAGAGGTGAACGACCAATTGTATAATAACAATAATAATCCTTGCATTTGATATAGAGCCTTATCACGTCGTTGAGATGTCTCAAAGCGCTTCACAGGATACACTGCAAAGTGAATTTACTGTATTTTTGGGGCGAAACACGGCAGCCAAATACACACACAAGTGTCCCACAATCAGTGGCTTGTGGTGTAAGGAAACCTGCCTGAGGTTTCGCTCTGCCCGGGAATCGAACCTGGATCCTCTCGCTTGCGAGGCGAGTGCTCTAACCACTACACCACAGGACATCACTCCACTTTAACGTCCACGTGAACAGACAGATGGGACCTCGGTTTAATCTCAGCACCTCTGATAATGTGACGCTCCTCCCTGCCCCCCCCCGCTCCCCGCAGCACAGCGCTGAGATGTCAGAGCCCCACAATCTCCCAACCACGAGGCCACAGTGTTTGATGCCTTTACTGTTAACACAGACTGATAAACGTACAAATGTGCCTCTTCCCACAGGGAGCGAGTCAAAGCCATGTTTTACCACGCCTACAACAACTATTTGGAGAATGCTTTCCCGTATGATGAACTGAGACCCTTGACCTGTGATGGGCAGGACACATGGGGGAGGTAAGTCATTGCCAACGTTGAAGCTCTTCGTACCCTCCTCCCCCCCACACCAACCCTAGATTCGAGCCTTACTGAGCAGAAATTAATTGAAGTTTATTTTCTGTGTTCCACAGCTTTTCTCTGACCCTAATCGATGCACTGGATACTCTCTTGGTAAGTCTTTTACTGGGGCTGTTGAGAACATCAGGCTTCCTCCCTGGGATGGTTTTCCTTTCCGCTCCCCCTCTGTCACACGGTGGCCTGGGATGGTTCTCTTAGTTACTTGGAGACGGATTGTGGCAGCTCCAGGGTTATATGTCTCTCGTAGAATCAGTGACTGAGGCCACTCAGGCCCATAGTTTGAGTGCTGTGGTCACTCCCCCAATGATACCCTCCTGCGTTTCATGTAGCCATCGATGTCGCTTCCTGGGCGCAGCCTATGTGCAACGACCGACAACAACAACAACTTGCATTTATGTAGCTCCCTTCACGCCAGGTGGCGCCTCGGAGATCTTACTTGGAAGTCGGACAGTTTTAGCGCACAGGAAGCTGGAACCGGGCCTAATAAGCAAACCGGTGTTATAACAGTATAAAAGGCACCTTATAATGGGGTTCTACTTCGTAACCTCTCGATTCGGATTGGGACGTCCTCCGACGTGAAAGGCGCTATACAAATGTAATCTTGTTGTTGCTGCTGTTGATTCAGTGCTCTGGGACGTCTTCCCGCCATGAAAAGCACTATATAAATGTACATTAGTATTTGTTGTTCTTGTTGTTGGCATCATCTCAGCAAGTCTGCGCTGTAGCCACTCCATAGCAGTGATGTCCTTTGTTTGAACCTCTGTATCCTTTCCACGAAGTGTCCCCCACTCACTGCACTGATCTCCTCTGGTTCAGGTGCTGGGCAACACAACCGAGTTTCAAAGGGTTGTCCATATGCTCGAGCATGGAGTGGACTTCGATATCGATGTCAACGCCTCTGTGTTTGAGACAAACATTCGCGGTAAGCTGGGAGGAAGATGCAGCCATGATGACGTAATGGGTAGATATGTTATATTCCTTGGACCCGAGGACCCGGCTGGTCCGATTGAGGTGTCCAAATTAATAACAAGAATTGACAAGCTGGACAGTCAAACAGCTCTTTTCTCTGCTAGAAGAGTCAGAAACAAATGGAGATAATCTTAACTAATTAATCTTAACTAATTCATTTATTCATTAATTAATCTTAACTAATTTGTTAAAGTAATTCCCCCCAATGTCCTGGCCAACAATCGTCCAGATAAATTGATCATTCCCTTTATGACTGTTCGGGGAATATTGCAGTGCACAGATTCGCTGACCTCCTTTGCCTACAAAATGCCCAGTCACTTCACTTGGCAGCGTGACCCTGTGAAGTGCTTTGAGATGCCGAGACTATCATTATTCTGCACATGTCGTGCTTCGGGTGAAGGATTAAACCGAGGTCCCACCTGTGCCTGTTCAGGTGGACATTAAAGACTGCGCGATGCTTTCGGAAAAGAATAAGGAGTTTCTTGCCGTGTCCTGGCCAACATACCCTGGATACAATCGATCGTTCGCTTCATGACTGGTTACAGGGAGCCATTGTATTTTGCTGATGGGTGTTTCTCTCCACAGTGGTGGGGGGGCTGTTGTCGGCTCACTTGCTTTCCAAGCAAGGAGGGATTGAGGTGGAGCCGGGCTGGCCCTGCTCGGGACCACTGCTCCGAAAGGCTGTAGAAGCTGCTCACAGACTGTTACCAGGTGAGGAACCTCCACTGTTTCGTGCTTCCAAAGCATCTCTCACTCACTCCACTTAATAACCTAGTGAGTAGCCTCACTGCTCTGCGCACCAATAGGCTGTTCAGATCAACAAATCATGGGTCAGATTAACATTGGCGCTGTAATTCCCTCTGCCCACAAATGTTTGCTCATGATTAACATGTAGTAGGCTTGTGTCAGCCTGGCACAGTGATAGCTCTCACCAGTCGCAAGGTTGTGGGTGCAAGACCCATGTTGGGCCTTGGAATCACGTAGTCTAAGATGACGCTCCAATGAAGCGCTGGGGGTATGTTGCATTGTCGGAGGTGCCGTTCTTCGGTCCCGTCTGCCTGTTCAAGTGAATGTTAAAGATCCCACGGCACTATTCAAAAAGAGAAGGGAGTTTCTCTCTCCTGGTGTCCTAGCTAACAATCCCCTAAATAAAATCGATCACTCACTCCATGACTGTTTGTGGGACACTGCCGTGCGCAATTTGGCTGCCACCTTCACCCGCAAAATACACAGTCACTCCACTTTACAGTGTATCCTGTGAAGCACTTTAAGATGTCTTAATGATGTGATAATGCACTATATCAAATGCAAGGATTATTATCATAGTTAATAACAGTCACTGCAGAGCAAAACATCACTCTATTTGCTGAATATGTACACCCTTGGGATGACATGTGTTTGGTGGGGTAGGCGGGGGTTTGGGACTTGATCAATTTAGTGCCAATGTTCCCCATTCAGACACCTCTTCATTTCTGTGTTGAGATGTCAATTTACAAATGATGCCAACTCAAATGCAGGGATTATTACTGTATCTCGCAAGCGAGAGATCTGGGTTTGATTCCTGAGAGGGTGAAACCTTGGGCAAGTTTCCTTAGTCCACATGCCTGATAGTAATCCCTCAAGAAAACAAAACAATAATAATTTGGTCACTTCAATCCACAACTGTTTGTGGGACGCTGCTGTGCACAATTGGCTGCCGTGTTTCGCCCACAAATATACAGTCAATTCACTTTACAGTATGTCCTGTGAAGCGCTTTGAGACGTCCAGAAGACATGATAAGGCGCTATATCAAATGCAAGGATTATTATTATTATTATCATGAACTGTATTATGCACAAAAATAGTCTTTGTGTGTGTCACCTAGTGGCAGACACGGTACTATACCCCAAGGCGATGCACTGACATAAAGATAGGCAGCCCAACCACACAGTTAGTGTTGGCCTCCTCAGCCGGGCAAGACATTGGAGTGAAGCTTTTTTTTTCTTGCTTATTGTTGGGCGAAGCTTTCCAGACCCCGACAGGAATGCCGTATGGCACGGTGAACCTCATGAACGGGGTTAATCCCGACGAGACGCCGGTCACCTGTACAGCCGGGATCGGCACCTTCATTTTGGAGTTTGCCACGCTTACCCGGCTGACCGGGGACCCTGTGTTCGAGGACGTGGCCAGGAAGGCGATGGCAGCGCTGTGGAGCACTCGTTCGAATATTGGACTGGTGAGAAACTTAGTAACCCTTGCCAACAGAAACAGGAGTCGCTGGGAACACTCAGCAGGTCAGGCAACCTCTATGGAGAAAGGAAAGTGAGTCAACGTTTCAGGTCCATGACCCTTCGTCAGAACTGGGGCATGTTGGGAGAGAGAAGCTTTTAAGGGCTAACAGAGAAACGTTGACTCACTTTCCTTTCTCCATACATGCTGCCTGATCTGCTGAGTGTTCTCAGCGACTTCTGTTTTTGTTTCAGATTTCCAGCATCTGCAGTATTTTGCGTTTTGTTAATAATCCTTGCATTTGTTATAGTACCTTTTTACGTCTTCGAGACGTCTCAAACCGCTTCACAGAATATACTGTAAAGTGAATCGACTGTGTATTTTGTGGGCGAAACATGGCAGCCAATTGCGCACAGCAGCGTCCCACAAAGTGACCAAATTATTATTTTTTTTGAATTTTTGTTTCACGATTGATACCACTCCACAAGCCCTTCAAATGAGACTAATCACCTGTGAAGCGCTTTGTTTCAAGGCGTTCACCTAGAAAATACACAGTCACTACACTTTACAGGTAATCCTGTGAAGCTCTTTGAGGTGTCCTCCTGACATGTAAGGCATTGTGTCAAATGCAAGGCTTATTATTTATTATTGTTTTACTTCTGTATCCAAATTTACTGAGATTCTATGGTAATAATCCCTACAAAACAAAATAATAATACTTTGCTTGCTCAATCCACAACTGTTAGTGGGACACTGCTGTGTGCATTTCGCCCACAAAATACACAGTCAATCCACTTTTCGGTATATCCCTTGAAGCGCTTTGAGACTCTGAACGATGTGATAAGGCATTATATCAAATGCAAGGATTATTATTATGGTAGAGGGGGGAGGGGGTGCTGTGCAGCCAATCCCGCGGGACATTGATCCACCTTGGTTTGCCTTTACTTCGCTCATTAAATGAGAGTTTGTAGCAACTGGCCATTTCCATTCTCTTCCCCTCCTATCCAGGTGGGCAATCACATCGATGTGGTGACGTCAAAGTGGGTGGCCCAGGATGCCGGTGTTGGGGCAGGGGTGGATTCCTACTTTGAGTATCTGGTGAAGGGAGCCATCCTTCTACAGGATGAGGGGCTGATGTCCAGCTTCCTCGGTGAGCATCAGCTTGTTTTTATTACATTGACGCAGCACTGAGCTATCCCCGCTATAGTGCCCCAACAGAGGGGAGACAGAGAGTGAGAGAATGTGAGAGACAGAGACAATGTGAGAGACAGAGACAATCTGAGAGACAGAAAGAATGTCAGAGAAAGAGAATGTGAGAGAAAGAGATCTGGCAACAGATTGTTCTGAAAATGATCGCAATCCCCCAATAAAATTGGTCGCTTTGAGACATCCTCCTGACGTGAAAGGCGCTGTACCAAATATAAGGATTACTGTTACTAATAACTTGTTAACTGGACTTTGCTGTTTCTTTTTGTAGAATATGAAAAAGCCATTAAGAATTACACAAAGTTTGACGACTGGTACGTGTGGGTTCAGATGTACAAAGGCAGCGTGACAATGCCGATCTTTCAGTCTCTGGATGCTTATTGGCCAGGTCTCCAGGTCAGAGTTGCTAATATCTACCTTTTACCAATGTTGCCTTCACCTTTGTGTTTCCTGAACCTTATCTGTTGACTTACACAGCAGCTGTGGTGCTACTGTAATCCCATTGAATATATCCTGCTGGTCCGGTCCCCTTCCCCATCCCCACCTCCCCACTCCCAATCACTCACATCAATACTTGGGCTCATAGTCTAGGAATCCTGTAGCATAGCAGTTAGAGCACTCGTCTGGCAAGCTAGAGGACCCAGGTTCAATTCTTGGGTGGGGTGAAACCGTAGGCAAGTTTCCTTACCCCTTACACATTTCTGTTTACCAAGCAATAAATAGGAACCCAATTGTTTAGTCGATTGGTGGATCATTTTCCAGGGGTAATAATCCCTCTGAAAAAAATTAAATACATTTTGGTCACTCAAACCACGATTGTTTGTGGGATACTGCGGTGTACAATTGGCTGCCATGTTTTACCCACAAACTACACACTTTACAATTCACTTTACAGTATATTCTGTGAAGCAGTTTGAAACATCGACGTCAACGACGTTATAAGTTGTTATGTCAAATGCAAGGATTATTAGTATTAGAAGCGGCAATGTTGGTTGGGGGGGGACTCATAAATCAAATTCATGGACGTTTTTTTGTGAGGGGAACCTCTCCTTTCCCCCCTCGGGAGCTGTTTTTGGGGTCTGGAGCCGGGACAAACACCGCTGTTTTGTTTTCACGTTGCAGAGTTTAATCGGCAACTTGGACAACGCAATGAAAACCTTCCACAATTATTACCAGGTCTGGAAGCAGTACGGAGGCCTGCCCGAGTTCTACAGCATCCCGCAAGGCTCCATCGTGGATAAGCGGGAAGGTTATCCCCTCCGACCAGGTACATCCCACCTCTGACAGATTTAGTTGGGAGCCCCGTAGTTTAATGGCTATTAACGGCTATTATCTCGCTTGTGAGGCATGGTTGCCTCGCAAGCGAGAGGACCCAAGTTTGATTCCCGGACGGGGTGAAACCTTAGGCAAGTTTCTGGTTACTTGGTTGTCAGGTGATTGGTGAATTGCTTTCCAGGGGTCATAATCCCTCCCCCTCAAAAAAAATTGGTAACTCAGTCCACGACTGTCTGTGGGACACTGCTGTGCACAAATGGCTTCAAAATACACAGTAAAAGCATTTTACAGTATATTCTGTGAAGTGCTTTGAAACATCTCAATGATGTGATATGGCGCTATATCAAATGCAAGGATTATTATTATTATTACAGAGCTGATCGAGAGCGCCATGTATCTGTACCGAGCCACGGGGGACCCCACTCTGCTGGAGGTGGGCAGGGATGTCATCGAGGCCATCGACAGGATCAGCCGCGTGGAGTGCGGCTTCGCCACGGTGAGTGCTGATCCCGGTCTGTCCAGCTCCCACACCAGCTCTACGCTGGTACTCAGGAGCTGGTGTGCTGCCTTTTGGTCAAGTTGTCCAATGATCAACGTTGGGTTGAGAAACATTGGGCCCAATGTTGAGCGGGTCCCAGTGTCCCAGCACTATGGTATGGAGAGTGTGTCGTCTCCAGGGAAGCCCGTGCACATCTCACCAACTCACGGGAACTCAGCCCCGATCCGAGATCCCACAAATCAAGGGGATGGGTGTACATGGGGTTCCCTGCGACTGACTTGCACGGTGTTCCAGTGTGGTTGTTCCAGTGCTAGGGCTCCACTAACATTGCCGTTCCTGTGTTCAAATATCCACTTTAACAGTGTTAATATCCACTTTAACAGAACGTCTGGATCGAGGCTGGACTGTTTGTCCAAATTCAACCCAACCCAAAAGTGGCCAACAATAAAAGTGGGTGTAGTGCTGACATTCTACCACAAGGGGTCACCAGCACATGCGGGAAATACATATACAGTACTGTATTTGACACAGCGCCTTTCACGTCAGGAGGACCTGTCAAAGTCCTTTAAAGGATATTATTATAAAGTGGAGTGACTGTTAATTTTGTTTGTGCACGGCAGTGCCCCCAACAAACAGCCACGGGGAAGGAGTTGGCAAGTAAGACTTTTAATAATAATAATCCTTGCATTTAATATAGCGACTTATCACGTCTCAACGAGCTTCACAAAATATACTGTAAAGCGTAGTGACTTTGTGTTTTGTGGGTGAAACGTGGCAGCCAATTGCGCACAACAGCGTCCCACAAACAGTCGTGGATTGAAGTGACTGAATTCTAATTATATTGGAAACTAAATTAATCGTAACTAGTGGTAATTAATACATGCGGCACAGACATGGCGTTGATGGGTTATTTCCTTCTCTTTCAGATCAAGGACTTGCAGGAACACAAACTGGACAATCGCATGGAATCGTTCTTCCTGGCGGAAACCATCAAGTACCTCTACCTGCTCTTCGATCCCGACAACTTCCTGCACAACGACGGCGTCTCATTCCACACGGTCACCACGCCGTACGGGGAATGCGTGCTGGGGGCAGGGGGCTACATCTTCAACACCGAGGGGCACCCCATCGACCCCGCCGCGCTGCACTGCTGCGGCCGCCGCAGGGAGGAGCGTTGGGAGGTCGAGGAGCTGATGCAGGATTTCCACACTTCGCAGTACGCCGGGAGGCGCTGGCACACGATGGAAACCAGCCGGGAATACAGACGGGAAATGCGGGCCCAACTGAACAGGACGAGGAAGGACAAGAGGGCGGGCCGCAGACTGTTTCCGATCCTGAGCTGCCCCGCTCAGCATTTCAGCTCCAAACTCGCTGTGATCGGTCAAGTGTTTACCGACCACTCCTAGAGACCAAGGGCTGGGCTTGGCCACACAGTGATCTCTGGGAGATCTCTCTCTCTCTCCATCGCTTGTCGATAACGGGTTCATTCCATCCCCATGGATTTTTTAAATGCATTTGGTGCAATAAAGTTTGGCTATTTGTTTATCGGTGATTCTTTTATTGGGACGGAGAGCGGGAGGGAGGATGTGGGGAGGGGAAGGGAAGAGAATATTGTGCTCAGTTCAGCCACTAATTGAGCTGCTTTACTATTAATATAGATTCCCCCTCCCTGCGCCCCCCCTCCCCCCCATCCGGGTGGGTGTCCTGAGAATACGAGCAGCATTTGTTCAGCAAAAAACTACAGCCATTAGAGAACGCAAGAGCATTAGGGGGTACGAATTCTTCCCACTCGGCTCCTGTTAACTCTGCAAGCCAACGGGGAGGGTGGTCCTAGTTGGACAAGAAGCGGGAAGCTTGCCAGACAGCGCTCTCAGCAGCTGGTTTAAACTCTTATTTCCCAAGCCTTGGCTCTCGCCGATCTGGGCCTGATGCTCTCCGGGAATTAGATGAGCAGGATGTGTCCCTCCGGGGAGAGAGTGTGCATTCCATTCCAGATATCCGGAAATTCCCAGGTGCGAAGTGGCGTCGCACATTTGGAACTCTCGGTCTGTTTTTTTTGTCTTGTTAAGCACGGTGGAGTTTTGATGGCTTTCAGTGTGTGTCGTTCAGCAAAAAAAAAACTGACCAGAAGAAAAACCGGGAGAGAGAGCACGGCCTTGGGGAGCCTGTGAGTCTGCAAACTGGCAATAATTCTGTGAGACGATGGGCTTTTTTCAACCAATTTAATCAATGGCTGAAATAAAGTATTCAGTGCTTTGGACAGACCTGTTCCAACAAATTATTGATGATGGCCCTGATGCAGCTGCTGTGCAGCCTCAATGCAGTGCCATATGTGCACATTATTCCCAAGTGCAGACCCCGCAAACCCCCACCGCCCCCACCCAGGACTTTGTAAAGAAAAGAACTTGCTTTTTTAATCACCAGCAATTTTTTTGAAAAAAGACACACACACACACACACACACCCTCAGAACCTGAGATAATGAAGCAACTATTTGCATTCACCATCAATATACAAGACAGTCCACAGATCGGGTGCTGGTTACACTCGGAGCCAGAGGGCAAACTGCTCAGTGTAAGATTTGAATAAAGGTATAATAGTGATCATAATAATATTGTGTGCGGAAGCCAGTTACAACCAGTCTTGCTCACTCTGGGCTGCTCGTGTTTCTCCGACCCCAACAGTGGTGGATGGGTTTACAGGCACTTTTCCTCTACTCTGCAACTCCCTTCTTCCCTCCTTCCCGTACATCGCTCCCACCATGCTCCCCCCAACCCATCCACCTCCCCTTTCAAATCCTGGCTGAAGAAATTGTGCAATATTTCCATCAATCCACTTTTACAGTGTATCCCGTGAAGCGCTTTAGAACATATCAATGACGCGATAAGGCGCTGTGTCAAATACAAGGATTATTATTATTATTATTGTTATTTACAATACATCCTTCAAGACCCATCTCAAGACCCTGGTCTTCGACCGTGCTTTAGATCACCCTCCTTCCCCCAACCCCCACCCTCCCTGATCCCGACCCCCCAAAGCTCAGTCTGCCCAGCGCCTTGGGGCGTCCTCCCGACGTGAAAGGCGCTATGCGAATGTAATGTTGTGGCTGAAGCGATTTGAGACGGTCTCCCCGAGGTGAAGGGTTGGAAGGATCGACCGGAATAATAGTTTGTGGCAATTAAATTGACCTTAATTACTGTCGCGGTGGAAGGGTGGGGGTGGGTGGGTTATTTCCGACAAAAGTATTTTAAAAATTGCATTTGAAATCATTTACAAATTAAACAGACTTAACGTTTCTTGACGCGTTCGAGCCTGGCTTTCCGTTTGCAATCTTTTTCTCTCGACCTATCGGTCCGCGGAGCTGTCGATACCACGAACGACGATTTTTTTTTTTTTGGCCTCCACCACGTCGCGATATCACAGGCGAGGATCATTCTCGTCATTGATCCTAACATTTAAAGGGGGAGGGGAAGGGCGAGGGGATCTGAGACGTCGGGAAGGTGTGAAAAGCGCTACATCAAATGCAAGGATTATTACAACAACAACAACGACGACGACCAAATTGCATTTATAGAGCGCCTTTCACGTCGGGAGGACGTCCCGAGGCGCTGGACGGTTGGGTCAGGACCCGAGCATTGGGGGGAAATGGTCAGGGTGAGGGGAGGGAAGGGAGGGAGCGAGGAGGGGGGAAATGGTCAGGGTGAGGGGAGGGAAGGGAGGGAGCGAGGAGGTGGGAGATGGTCAGGGTGAGGGGAGGGGAGGGAGGGAGTGAGGAGGGGGTAGAGAGTCGAGAGCGGACCTGAAGGTTCGGTCAAAGAGAAAGGTCTTGAGACCGGCCTTGAAGGAGGAAAGGGAGGAAGCGGCGAAGGCACTGGGGATGGAGTTCCAGAGCCTCGGGGCTGAGTGGCTGAAGGTCCGGACACCGATGGTCGGGCGGTTGGGGCGGGGGATGTGGAGCAGACCGGAGCCAGAGGAACGGAGGGTACGGACGGGCAGGTACGTGGGGGGGGGATTGCTATTATCTTATATTATTATTATATCATTACTATTATATTATTATTATTATATTATTATTATTATTATTATCGATATCGTTATCGATAATAATATTGACCGGGGAAGGACAGGGCGAAAAAAATAAAAATTAAAATAAAAATAAAAATAAAATTGCGGGGCTCAGCCCGAGGACTGGAACCCGTTCCCTTTTCTGTGGCTCTCATTGATTCGGTATCAGGTTTTATCGATTTTATTGATTAATAAATAGCCCCGAACCCGGAGGAGGGGTTCGTTGGGGGAAAAATTGCAGTGCCCCGTGTGAGGCTCGAACTCACGACCTTCAGATTATGAGACTGACGCGCTGCCTACTGCGCTAACGAGGCTCCGGCGGGGGACAGGCGGCGGCGGGGGGAGGGTAGGCTGAGCGGCCGGAGCTGGAGGGTGGCGATTGGGTCACGGCGCTCGCGTGACGCGGGGAGGGGGCGGGGCTACTGCTCTCCCCGCCCCCCGAGGGTGGGGGGGAGGGAGGGGGAGGAGTTGCTGACCAGACGTTGCTCCACCTGCGGGTCCTAGTGCCCGCCGTGTGCTGCCGCTGCGGAGGCTCTCTGACACCGATGCGATCACGTTGGGGCATCTTTTTTCTCTCTCTCTCTCTCTTATTTTTTTTGCTCTGCTCTGCGTGTAAAGAAAAACAACGACAGCAGCAGCAGCTTTGTGCGGATGCCCGACTCGATTAAAATTTTAATGTAAACCTGCAATCGTGGGTTTTTTTCTTCCCCCACCCCCCACCCCCCCACCCCCGAACACTCATGTACCCATGTACCCACGTACAGGGAGGGGGTGGGTTAGGGGGGTGGGGGGAGAAGCATCATATTGGGCAACCTTTGGGCTGGTGTTGGGTGGAGTTTGGGCCGCGTTGTGTATTGTAATTTCTGGCCAAAGACTGAGCTGGGACAATTGTGGATAAAAAGGCAATTGGGTTAGAGTCAGCAGAGAAGGAAGGAAGGAAGGAAGGAAGTAGAGAGATCAATGCACATTTCTGTATTTAATACTCTTTATTTAAATTCGTTTGCATCCCTCCATCCCTCCCTCCCTCCCTTCTCATTGCTAAATGGCCACCAGCTTTTTAATGCTTGCAAACTAATTCAATCAAATTCTGTTTACACACTGCTCTCAAACCCGGGCTCACTGTGTGTGTGAGTGTGTGTGTCTGTGTCTGTGTGTGGAGAAGGGATGGGGATCGCAGTAGAAAATGCATTGCGTTAAATGGAAACAGATACGTTTTTTTTCAATCCACTGTGTGGCTTCTTCTCGGGTCGTTTTAAGGGAAGGCGATCAGCAGAGAAGGAAGGAGAGAGAAAGGATAACAAGTCGCCCACGATGTCTGTCAAGAGGTTTTGTTATTGCACCCCCCACCCCAACCCCAACCCCACCCCCACCCCGAAATGTTTTGAATTCAGTGACAATCCGTTCACAAAACATGTGCCCCGTGTGAGGCTCGAACTCACGACCTTCAGATTATGAGACTGACGCGCTGCCTACTGCGCTAACGAGGCTCCTGTAGGCAAACAGAACACAGCCCAACACAACAGGCAAACCCAGCCACTGGGTGTAGCCAAAATGATCAGCGGTGATGATGATGATGATGATGATGATTATTATCATCATCATCACAATCCTCGCGATTGATACAGGGCCTTATCGCGTCTCCGAGACGTCTCGAAGCGCTTCACGAGATACACTGTAAAGTGTAGTGACTGTGTATTTCGTGGGCGAAATGCAGCAGCCCAATTGCGCACAGCAGCGTCCCGCAAACAGTCGTGGATTGAATGATCAATTTTTTTTGTTGGGGGTGGGGGGGGAGGGGGGGTGGGGGGGGAGGGGGGGGGTGGGGGGGGAGGGGGGGGGTGGGGTGGGGGGGGAGGGGTGGGGTGGGGGGGGAGGGGGGGTGGGGGGGAGGGGGGGGTGGGGTGTGGGGAGGCATTATTACCCGCTAGTCAACTAACGACCAGGTTCCTATTTACTATTAGATAAACAGCAACAGCAACAACACAGCGCCCTTCATGCAAGGTAGTAGTGTCTCGGAGCGCTTTACGGTGACGGACGGAGCCCGACGCCAAGACAGGAGGAGCTGACCCATAGGCACGATCGAAGAGGAAGGTCTTCAGGCCTGATCTGAGAATGAGGGAGGAGGGAGCAAGGCGGAGGGAATGAGGGGGGAGAGGGTTCCAGAGTTTCGGGGGTGTACCAACTGTGTTGCTGTGTTGAGACCTCTGTAGTGCAAATGAGCTCTTGTCTTAGTTGCTGTGTTGAGACCTCTGTAGTGCAAATGAGCTCTCGTCTGAGTTGACAGAGCACCTTTGATCCTGCTGTGTTCCTATAGGCAGCTGGGCAGCACTTGAAAGTAATTCGCTGGCAATCTGTAACGTTTGCATTTGTAATTAAATTTTGTATTTTATATATTTGTGGGCGAAACACGGCAGGCAATTGCGCACAGCAATGTCCCACAAACAGTCATAGATAGAGTCACAGAACACACTGCTAAGTGCATTCATTGTATATTTTGGGGGCGAAAATTCTATCACTTTCCCAATAAAAGGATAGATTTTGGTGCAGCTAATACTAGCAATAATTATAGTAGTATTATTCCTTCAAGATAAATGTTAAAAAGAAATTGGGTCACTCAATCCACGACTGTTTGTGGGATACTGCTGTGTGCAATTGTCTGCCAGGTTTCATCCTTGAAATATACAGTCATTTCACTTTACAGTATATTCTGTGAAGAGCTTTGAGACGTCTCGAAGACGTGATAAGGCGCGATATCAAATGCACAGATTATTATTATTATTATGATGATGATGATGGGTAATATTGGCTGTATATAAATCTATCCATAAAACAGCATTCCCTATATATGGGAAGTAATGTCTAGGAAGAAGCCAATTTGGTGCCTTGGCCCGAACACATACATACACACACACACACACACTCACATACACACTCACACACACACTCACATACTTATATACATAAACACACTCAATACATACACACACACTCACATACACAATCACATACACACTCACATACACACACTCACATATAGACATACACTAACATACACACTCACTCACACACATATACACATACACACACTCACATACTAACATACACACATACACTCACTCACACAAATACACACACTCACTCACATACACACACACACTCTCAGTCACATACACACTCACATACACTCACTCACATACACAGTCACATACACACACTCTCACTCACATACACACTCACGCACACACTCACATAATTATACACATAAACACACTCACATACATACTCATACATACTCACATACACACACACACACACTCACAGGTAGACACACACACACTCACATACACACTCACACATATACACACTCTCACTCACACACACTCACATACACAAACACACACTCGCTCATACACACTCACATACACACACTCTCACTCACTCATACACACACTCACATACACACACTCTCACTCACTCATACACACACTCACACACATACTCACATACACTCTCACACACACACTCACTCACACACATACACTCACACATACACTCACACACACACTCACTCACACATACACTCACTCACACACACATACACTCGCTCACACACACACTCACATACACTCACTCACACACATACTCATATACACTCACTCATACACACACTCACATACACTCACTCACACACACATGCACTCACTCACATACACTCTCACACACACACTCACATACACTCACTCACATACACTCACTCACACACATACTCATATACACTCACTCATACACACACTCACATACACTCACACACACACACTCACCTACACTCTCACACACACACACTCACACACATACACTCACTCACACATACACTCACTCACACACACATACACTCACTCACATACACTCTCACACACACACTCACATACACTCACTCACATACACTCACTCACACACATACTCATATACACTCACTCATACACACACTCACATACACTCACACACACACACACTCACCTACACTCTCACACACACACACTCACACACATACACTCACTCACTCACACATACACTCACTCACACACACATACACTCACACACATACACTCACTCACTCACACATACACTCACTCACACACACACATACACTCACTCACACACACACACTCACATACACTCACTCACTCACACACACTCTCACACACACACACACTCACACACCCGCTCATGTACACACTCCCCCCCCCGCCCCCCCCCAAGTATCCTTTGCTCTGACGTCAGACTGGCCACGTGGTGTGGTTTGTTACCGCACAGCTCTGGGCTCCGCACACACTCCCGCACACACTCACTCCCTCACTCACTCCCTCCCGCACTGCTGTTGTCTCTTCGCTTTTCAGTTCATCAATCGTCGGCTTTTGGTGCCCAGAAAATGCCTTCTGACAAATCATTCAAACAGAGGAGAAGTTTCGGTGAGTGTTGCCGTGGAGGGGAGAGGGGGAGAGGGGAGAGAAGGGGGTGGGGGGGGGGGGAGAGAAGGGGGTGGGGGGGGAGAGGGGAGAGAAGGGGGAGGGGGTGGGGGGGGGGAGGAAGGGGGTGGGGGGGAGAAGGGGGGTGGGGGGGAGAGAAGGGGGTGGGGGGGGAGAGGAGAGGGGGGAGGGGGGGTGGGGGGAGGGGGTGGGGGGGAGAGGGAGAGAAGGGGGAGGGGGTGGGGGGGGGAGAGAAGGGTCGAGAGGCTGAAATGGAAGGGATGGGGAGGAAATGAACAAGAAATGTATCCTTTTTTTCTCTCGTGTTGCTGTCTCTCACTGCGGTAGAAATGTCTGTGTGTCTGTGTGTCTGTCTGTGTGTGTGTCTGTGTATCTCTGTGTATGTGTCTGTGTGTGTCTGTGTGTGTGTGTGTCTGTGTGTGTGTCAGTATGTGTGTGTGTGTGTCTGTGTGTGTGTGTGTCTGTGTGTGTGTGTGTCTGTGTGTGTGTCTGTGTGTGTGTGTGTCTCTGCGTGTGTGTGTGTGTCTGTGTGTGTGTCTGTCTCTGTGTGTGTGTCAGTATGTGTGTGTGTCTGTGTCTGTCTCTGTGTGTGTGTCAGTATGTGTGTGTGTGTGTGTGTCTGTGTGTGTGTTTGTCTGTGTGTGTGTTTGTCTGTGTGTGTGTCTGTGTGTGTGTGTGTCTGTGTCTGTCTCTGTGTGTGTGTCAGTATGTGTGTGTGTCTGTGTGTGTGTGTCTGTGTGTGTGTGTGTGTGTGTGTGTGTTTCTCTGCCATGACCTGCTGTCAGCTGACTGACTGACTGAGTGACTGACTCCCTTTGCCTGACTTGACTGGTGAGAAAAATAAGAGGCCCTGTGGATTAATCCAAACAGCTGTTGAGAAGCTGGACAGACAGAGAGACAGCTAGAGAGAGAGAGAGAGAGAGAGGGAGGGAGGGAAAGAGAGAGAGAGAGAGAGAGAGGGGGGGACTGGGTAAAGAAAGGCAAGGAACAGATCAGCTCAAGGCAGTGAAGTAACTTGCCCTTTTGTGAAGTGTCTCTTAACAAAGGACAACGCACTTCTCTCTCTCTCTCTCTCTCTCTCTGTATCTCTCTCTGTCTCATTCTCTCTGTCTCCTTCTATCTCTCTCCCTCTCTCCCTCTCTCTGTGTCTCTTGGAAGACCTCAGAGTGGTCTGATGGTGGATTTTAAAACCCACCCCACGATCAGCTTCCCTTTTCCACCCCCTGTTTATATGGTGCAATTAAACCTCGATCCTCGACAGAGTCATTGTGTTATTATTGTACATGAAACGAAACGAGACACCATGGGGGGTGGGGGGGGGGGGTATTCCCCCCCCTCCCTCTCCCCCTTCCCCTCTCCCCTCCCCTCTCTCTCTCTCAGAATAACTGCGAGCAAAAAAGAAGCTGCGATTGGCAGTTAACACTGTAACCCATGTCTTTTTTTTACACACACAGAGAAAATATCTGTGCTGTAAGTTCACAGAAGTGGCCATTTTTATAGGTTACTAACAAAGAGAGAAAAAAAGGCGACTGTCTCTCTCTCTCTCTCTCTCTCTCCTCCTCCCTCCTTCCTCCCTCTCCTCCTCCTCCCTTTCACCCACATTACATTTGTGTTTGTTTTTCTTGTTAAACAGCTGTCAGATTTCTTTCCTGGTCAGTTAGATAAGTAGCTGCTCCATAACCAACCCTCTCTCTCCCTTTCTTTTCTTTCTATCTTTTTTTTCCCTTTCTCTTTTTCTTTCGGTCTTTCCATCTTTTTTTCTCTCCCCCTTTGCTATTTTTCTTTCTTTTCTTTCTGCCTTTCCATCTCCCCCCCCCCCCCCCCCCCTCCTCCTCCCCCCTCCCCTCCCTTTTCTATTTTTTCTTTCTTTTCTTTCCATCTTTCCTTTCTATCTATCTTTCTTTCTGTCTGTCTTTCCTCCTGAGCGAAGTGCTGTCTCTGTTGCACCTCTCGTTCTGAGTTGGCTGATTGGTTTTTACGATAACTGTATGAAAAAAATAAAAGAATAATAAACTGCCACAGTTACAATTGTAACTAAAACACTACCCAGTTAGTGCCTGGTGGCTGGAGACAGCGAGTTATTTGTTTTCTAAGCAAACACAATGATTTACTAATTTTTTTCTGTGTCTCAAGCCTCAACTCAGATACCAATTGAAATACCCCTCCATCCAGTTCAATCCTTTTATTTCCTTCTGATTCTCAGTCCCCCCCCCCCAAAAAAAAAACTGAACATTATTTGACACCTCTAACCCCTTCTCCATTGCATGGTGACAATTTATTGGAACGTATTTGAAACCTTTCATGACAATCTCCTTTTAAATTAAATTAAATTAAATTAAAAGTGTTGTGTGTGTGGGGGTGGGGGGGGGGGGTGGGGGGTGTTGTGGTGGACAGATGGTGTTTTTATGTGAAGTCTGAAATGTTGGGAGTACATTAACAGATTAAAATGCCACTTGGACTTGTTCCGGCAANTTTTTTTTTGCAATTTGATGACGATTTGGGGATTCAATTGGTTTCCCCACACACTTTTGTGGGAGTAAAAGCTGCTCAGTTTGGCGATGGTGCGTTCAATTTCGACTCATGGATATCAAATAAACTCCTGACATCTTTTTTGAAGAAGTTTGGATTGTCCATTTTCCAACCTGTGCCTTATTTTTCTGCCACAATCCTGAAAAATCCACATGGAAAACCTCCTTCCCTCCCGGGGGTGGAGGGGGAGAAAAAATCCTTAAATCTTTTAACGTTGACATTTCGACTAATACCAGTGTGTGTGTGTGTGTGTGTGTTATCGATAAAGTATTGTAAGAATATTCATTAACTGCAAAGTTTCTTCTGACGCAGTTGAGACAGGGAATAGCCAAAGACAAGACAATTTCACCACAACAGTCTTAATATTATTGGGGCTCTAAAGAAAAAATAAAGACTGTGGGAAACGTGACTGCAGTTTAAACTGATCAGAGAGCTATGGTGGTAAGGTATTGTTGAGCAAGAAACTGAATCGGATGCAGACTGCCTCGAGTTTGGGAAAGTTTTATTTTAGGTGCGTTTCTTTCCGGGTTTTCCTGGTGGATCGAAGTCGATACTTATTGTTTTTTTAAACATAAAACATGTTGCGTCCAAACAGCTGATCGGGTTAAAGAAGTCCAACAGATCAGAGACCAGCATCCCAACAAGATCCCAGTGAGTAACTTTTTTTTATATCGTTTGGCTTTGCGATGGGATGAGAGAGGGCCATATGAGAAGGGAACATTTTTTTTTGGGGGGTGGGGGGGTGGGGGGGGGTGGGGTGGGGGGGGATATTGCCTCCCTTTAGGATAATATTCAGAGACAGTATTGGAACAAACTAACCTGTGGGGGAAAAGAGGATGGCATCAGCCTGGATCAGAAGCTGCTCCTTTACTGACATCGCCAGCGTTAAATGTTATTAGTGTTTAAGCTGCATTTTCCACGCGTTTTTTAATTATTATTATGATTATTGATAGTAATTATTAGGGCACAGGACAAAGGTGGATCTCTGAATGTGCTGAAACACTTTGCCGGGTGTGTGAGCCTGAGATTGAGTGAGTAGAGGAGGGAGGGAGGGAGGGAGGGAGGGGGGGACTGGGATGTTTAATAATGTATCAGGTTTTTAGAGCAATGTATCCCTGTGTGACTGGTTGTGGCTTCTCTGGTTAGTGTTGGAGACTGGCGATGTTTTGCACAGTTTCCTGCTAACAGGTGGGCCAACAGCCGACCGACTGTCAGTAAAACACAGACAGCATTACATCATTAACTTTTACCGCATTGCGTTTTGGGGAAAGGAGATAAATAATGCCAAACCTTTGCAAAGCTGCCAGGACCTGTTAGCCAGTCTTACAGCACCCATCTCCCCCCACTGCCAGGAGCCCCCCACACCCCTGCTTTCCATCTCCTAAACACAACCACCATCAGCAATTGCAGAAAAGCTTCCTACCCTCATTTGTGCTGCAGCTGATAATCTCAATGAAACTACTGCCCCCCCCTCCCACACCCACCCCCCACCCCACCCCCCCCACCCACACGAGCCTGGACAGAAATGGTGTGTCCACTCCCGAGTTTAAAGACAATAAATGTAATGGTAAATAAAACATGACGATACGTGTTGTTATACATAATCCATAATGCATGTAACACTAATAATTCTTGCGGAATAATTCTTACAGACTGTTCTGTAAAGGGGATTGACTGTATATGTTGTGGGCGAAACTATTGATTATTATTCACATTTCTAATAAGTTATTCATATTTATAATAAAAAGCTTTGTGTTTGATTTCCGCATTGCCGAAATGTCTCAAAAGCACGTCACACCGGATTTTACTGGAAAGTGTAGTGACCGTCTGTAGGCAAAGGCAGCAGCCAGTTCGGGCACGCCCAATAGTGACAATAACAATAATCCTTGCACTTGATATAACGTCTTTTCACGTCGTTGAGACGCCTCAAAGCGCTTCACGGAACATTATTGTAAAGTGAATTGACTGCATTTTGTGGGCGAAATACGGCAGCTAATGGCGCACATCAGTGTCCTACAAACAGCTGTGGATTGAGTGATTTTTTTTGGAGAGGGGGCGGTGGTGTGGGGCGTGTGGTGTGGTGTGTATGGTGTTCACCTACACAGCAACAGCCCCCCATTAGAAAGTTTTCATGGTGTGGGCATGATTAGGTCTTGCTCCATTGACTCATTCAAGAACAATGACTAGTTAGGTGTTGTACCTACTGATCATTATTATTATTATTATGATTAATATGATTATTATGATGATGATTAGTATTATTATTATTACTGATGCTTGTGGACCTACCCTGCTAGTCAACACCTTGAAGTGGAGAAAACTGGCAAAAAAAAATGAAACCGCATTTCAAACACTTTTTTTAAAAAAATGATTCCGTTGATTCCTCCCTACACTAACCGGGGCCTGTCAAAGTACACTCAAATATTGCTCCAATTATTTCTGATCTATTTTATTTCATAAAGCACCTGAAGAGCTTTTGTGCTATGTTTATATTTTTTGGTCAGCCGAGTGTCTGACACAAGCGGAAACCCACCACCGTTGCTTAAGAGCATCCAACCCAAGATGAGAATTCCAGGCCTCCCACCTACACATGGAAATCCCGGAGACAGATTGCTGGAATGGAATGCGCTCTCTCTCTCTCCCTGGAGGGATGCATCCTGTTTACCTAATTCCGGAAAGTATTAGGCGCAAGTTGCCATGAGCCAAGGCCTGGGGGAGCCCAGAGTGGGTGATGAGGTAACTGCTGGAGCCTAACCAGCTAAAACCACATAGCTTGCCATTGATAAATGCAAGTTATATATTATATTATGTTGTTGAATCCTGGCCCGAAATTCCCCCAAGTGAAAAAAAATTGGTTGTTCATTTCACGGCCGTTTGTGGGACTTTGCTGTCTGCAAAATCGGCTGCCGCATTCGCCCATAAAATACACAGTCACTACACTTTATGGTAAAAACCTGTGAGGCGCTTAGAGAACACGCAGTGTCAGAAGTGTTTGGAGCTGTGCCTTTAATCCAAGAGCTTGATAATAAGGGCAGAGTGAAGCAAGTGCTATAAATAAGCCGTATGTGCGTGGATTGAGAAGGCAAACTGTATAAATAGCTCCCTGTGAATCACCTCCATTGAAGAATATATTTCTTTCCAGGACACCTGTGTTTCGTCCACAAAATACACAGTCAATCAACTTTACAGTATATTCTGTGAAGTTCTTTGAGAGGTCTCAAACGACGTGCTACATCAAATGCAAGGATTATTATTATTATTAATATTAATATCAAGCTCTTGGAATCGCGTTTTGTTCTTTAAGGTGGAGTGATGCATGCGGGGGAGTGGGTTGATGGAAGGTAATGATAGGAATCATCATGAAACATAGTGTGGCTGTGAAATCCGAGTTCTGAAATCCTGTTTTGTGAACGATGGAAGTATTTTCCATCAGAAATAGATTCAGTGTGAATGTCTGACACAGCACATAGACACACAACAAGTTGTTAACTGGGGCGCGGTTGACAGAAAAGGCGCCCCATCCAAAATTGGCAGGTTCTCTTAGGCGTGTATGTTCATTGTTGTCTGCGCTCATTGACAGAGCGACTGACTTTCATTGCTCTTGGTTGACAGGTGATAATTGAGAGGTACAAGGGGGAGAAACAACTGCCAGTGTTGGACAAGACCAAATTCTTAGTTCCAGACCATGTCAACATGAGCGAACTTGTTAAGATCATCCGGTAAGTACGACGACGACAACAACAGCAACTTGCATTTGCGCAGCGCCCCTCAGGTAGGGTAGCGGCCCACAGAGTACTGTCACGGATGTGGGTAAAGGAGCGAGGGGTTGGGGAGTGGAGGGGGTTAGAGGGGTTGGTACCCGTTACAGATGGGCTGGAAGCTTGCTCAACAGTTACAGCCAACACACCATTGTCCTCCCGATGTGAAAGGCGCTATTCAAGTGTCATTTTGCATTGAGTATTTTCTCCTTTAACCGATGGTCTGAGGGAAAGAACTGGCCTTTGTTTGTAGAGCCGTATCGTGTCCAAACAATTCCAAACGTTTGAATTACAATTACGGTCAAGTGTAGTGACTGTTTCAAAATACTTTGTTTCAAGCCGAGAACATTCTGAGCGAGAGTGGAGGGGAACAGGTTATAATACCGTACTAACAACTACAGCAAGTCTTGCTCGCAGAGCCCTGGACTGGGGCGATGTGTCTGTATTTGAGGTTAGAACGCAACGCCTTAAAACAACTTCCTGCCTGAAGCACACTGGAAATCAAGTTTTAAATTCCAATTCCTTTTTTTTTCCCCCCGGGGTCAGGGCAAACCTTAGGCAAGTTTACCTAGCAATGAGCAGTTGTTAGTTGATTGGCGGAATGCTTTCCGGGGGGTAATAATCCCTTCAAAAAATAAAAATGACAATAAGTTGGTCACTTGATCCCCGACTGATTGTGGGGACGCTGCTGTGCGCGATTGGCTGTCGCGTTTCACCCACAAAATGTACAGTCAATCAACTTTACACTATATTGTGTATAGAGGCGCCTCAACGATGCGATAAGGAGCTGCATCGAATGCAAGGATTATTATTACTATTATTGTTATTGTTACCTCCCCCGGGGACCCCACGAGCTGACCCCGGAGGTGAAGGTGCGGGTGGCTGAACCTTGCAACGGCTGACGGGGATTCGGGGGAACGTTGAGTCAAAGAAACGCGAGGAAGGGGGATCAAAATTTCCTAATAAATTGCCGTTAGCAACTCGACGGACGGATCAGCACCCCCCTCCCGCCCCCCCCGTGCCCCCGTGCCCAGGTTCACTCGCCCGCTGCTTATTTCGTCTCTCGTTCTTACCTTCCCGTCGAGCGGCCGCTTGTGTTTTTTCTCTTTTCTCCTCCTTCCCACCTCCCCACTTCCTGTCCGGTATCCGATGGGGTTTGCTGAGCAGGAGAGGTCCAGGCTTCGATCCAGGCCTAATGGGGGCTGAGCCGAGCAACTCGGCTTCCTCTCGGGACCTAGCGACGGCTCCGTCTCGCCCTCGCCCGAGAGAGACGTTGACATCAACACCAACTTGCCTTTGCGTGGCGCCCCTCACCCTGGGTATGGCGCCCCAGAGCGCTTCACGCCCCCGTTTGCCATGTTTATCGCCCAAGACCTGAAACCCGAGGCTCGAAATTCTGAATTTTGGGGGGAATTATTTTGTCTCAAAATTTTAAGATTAAAATTCTGCGATTCGCGAATTCTGCCTTAGTTTGGGAGCCCTGTGTCTGTGTCTGTGTGTGTGTGTTGTGTGTTGATTTTGATTGATTTTGAAGCTCTTTTCAAAGAGCAGCACAGACGATGAGCCGAATGGCCTCCTTCTGTGCTGTACAATTCTATAATTCTATGAATTCTGCGTTGTCTTCATTTTTGACACCCACTGCGGGGAAATTCCACTCGCCTCTAGATTCACTCCTATTTATTGTAGCATTTCACAGTGTCTAGAATTTAACAATTTCCTAAATGCAGCCTTAACTTTGAAGCCTTTTAACCTAACTTTTTCCGAAAAGGAAAGAATTACTGAGAATGCAGCTTCACAGTTAAGCCTAAATTCAGCAATTGGACAAATTCTGGATGCTCTAAAACCGCTAAGAAACAGTAAATCTAGAACGTATCTAATGGAATGTCTATAATATAATAATGATTGCATTTGATATAGCTCCTTATCACATCATTGAGGGTTCTCGAAGCGCTTCAGAGAATATACTGTAAAATGGATTGACAGGGTATTTTGTGGGCGAAACCAGTGTATTACAGGCTAAGATGAGGTGGAATTCCAGATCTAAGGAGATGAGTGAATTAGGTTAAAAAACATAAGTTCGTAATGCGTTATTAAAATCTTTTTCTCTCCCTCTTTCTCCTGTGACACAGGCGCAGACTCCAGCTGAACCCAAACCAAGCTTTCTTCTTGCTGGTCAATCAAAGGAGCATGGTCAGTGTCTCGACCTCCATCTCAGAGATCTATGAACAGGAGAAGGATGAAGATGGCTTCCTCTACATGGTTTACGCCTCTCAGGAGACCTTTGGTTGTTGAAAGCGGCGCTACGATGAAAGTCCCCGCACTTGGTTTGACGACTGGCAAAGAAGGAGGGAGGGAGGGAGGGGGAGAAAGAGAGACAGGGAGAAAGAGAGAGAATTTCACTGTGTTAAAACAACCAACAGGATTTTTCATCCTGCATTCAGTCACTCACACGTACAACAAACGCATAGTGTACCAGGTCATGTAAAACGTTGAACCAACAATAGCCTTCTCTCACTTGTATCTATATGATTGGCAGCTGTTTATTTGCTAGTTATCAGTCTTTCGTTCATTTTTTTTCTCTGTTGAAATGTGATACAATGCATGGTCCACCTGCCAGGCCGGCAAGCAATTTTAAAGCCCTAAAAAAATGGTAAAACAGAGGGCTTTGTGTTTGGAGAAGGTGATAATATATCAATATATATTATTATTATTATATATATATTTAAATATATATATAAAAAATACCAATGACTTCAAAATTGACTTTTAAGTGCATATCAAATATCGGTGCTTCAAATTGGGAAACGGGGGTGGAAAAAGGAGGGATTAGAGAAAAAGGAATTTTGGACAATGGTTAACGCTCTTTCCTAAGTTTTCATGATCAGCTATTTATGTAGAACTTGCTTTTTATGCACTTTATAAACAGCACGGATATTTAGGAAGGCTAAGAATTCCATTGTAGTATATAAAATAGTAGGTTTTAATGCAGAAGGTCAGACCAACTTGGTGACCTGGCTTTTTATCTTTTCCTTATATTATTTAGTCGTCATTTCTGTGATTTATGGGTTGGATTTTTTTTTCCCTCCCTCTTTTTATATATATATATATATATATTAGTGTTACGTGTAGTAACGGTGCCTGTTATTGTGTGATAAAAGGGAATGCTCATTCGTGGAATCTCTCATAATTGTTTACTTTTATTTCTTTTTGAACAAAAAACGCATAATTATAATTAAAAAAAAAGTCACAGTACTAAAGCTGTAATTTAAATGTCCCACGTCTCTTCAATCAATTTTTTTGTGATGAACCTTCAGGAAATGGCAAAGCAATTTATTTAAACACGTGTAAAAACCCTCGTGAATGGCAATATAAGGCTTATTTTCCAAAAGCAGGGCAATAAATGGTTCGGATAAAATGGAAAAGATAGACATTTTGTATTTGGAGTCCTGCAGTTTAGTGGTAAGAGCGAATAAGTGGAAGGCTTGGACAGTAAAGGTCCCTGTAAGGCAGTACCAGCCAAACCACAGCTCACAGGCTGGTTCCGATCCATGGGGCTGCCTAGAAATGCCCCTCCCTGGAACTTTGGCACAACTCTAGGTAACTCCACGTTCAATTGGTCGTGTGTTCCCGGGTTTTCCTTGATTGAATATTTCTTGATTTACAGCATCAATCACGAAATGTTCAACCGAGGTTATTTTGTTGACTGACCAAAAGATGGTTGGCCACCACTGCCGTAAGGTGTTCATCAAGTTCAAACTCAGAGGAACAACCTGCAACGTCAAAGTCCAACATCTCGGACAACCTTACTGAGGGTGACGTCCAAGATGATGACACCAATCAGGGCCGAGGCAGTCATTTTCTTTTGTAAAAACAAGATACTTTGGATTGAGGCAAGCTCAAGAAGTTTGAATGGGAACCATGCATCAGGAGAGATTCACCTACAAACACACACGTTTAAGGTAAATCTGGGGGATACACCTCAGTATGTTTTGATGATACGATAAGGCACTGTATCAGGTGCTATCAAGTGCAAGGATCATTACTGCTTTCATCCCAACGGTTTAGGTTCCATTTCAAAATACTTGCATTTGCACGCGCACACACACTCATCAGCAATACAGAAAAGCCAACAATCAATGATCCCAATAAGTTTTATTTTTATACTGAAATGGCAGCTCTGTGTCCTTCAGTGGTTGTGTTACCAAAAAGTAACAATGCATTCCAGTGTTTCCAAACTTTTTCAATTCTTAAATTGAGATGTTCGTCTTCTCTTAGGCCTCATCACTGGGGCTATTGTGACCCCCCCACTCCCTCCCCGCTCCTCCGCTCTCAGGCTAGGGGTGGGGGAGAGAAGAGGAGGGTTGGGGGGTGCTGGTGCACGTAAAACAATTGGAAATATCTTGTGTCATTCCCCAAAATAAAACAAAACTCTCCAAAGACAAGGTAAGAATTATCAACATGACCCATAAAGTTTGCGCTCTCGGCTTATTGTTGAACATCACTCAGATAAATGTGGTGAAAAGGCAAGTGTACATAGTCCACCACACAACTCCTGGTTTTCACTTTGCTCTACATCTTCAACCGAGATACGAAATCCCCGGTCAATAGTCATTCCCTCGAATGTTACACATTTGATGGCTTTGTCTGGCACACGGTTTCAGCCCAAACATTATTCCCTCCTTCCAGTTGTGGCAGAGTCTCCTGTGTAAGTTGATGTAGGCAGACGAACACGAACACAAATGAATCAAGGATAGTCTTTCATCTGACCTGGTTTGGGCGCGGTGGTTAAGATGTGGAATGCTGCATCCTGTGGAGGTTTCGAGTCACCACTGTGGGACTCCTGTTGGTAAACAGGACTTTATTCTTGTCGAGGAAAAACATCTTAGATGTTGAAACACCCAGCGTCAATCGATCACTCACTGCTGGTCAAGAGACAGCTACAGGAGGTGAAACAATGAGAGACGGGGACAATTGGGAAATGGGATGGGGGTGGGGGGAGATCTGAGCACCTGAAATTCCCACACCCTTACGAGTCCAACCCTTGTGGAACTTCAACCCTCTGTGCAATTACCTTTCATTTCAGACAGCCACGTTGAAATGACATGCAAGATCCAACAAAATAAAAACTTAACTTTTAAAAATAAGTTGCCACATTGTGCTGGGGGGGGGGGGGGGGTTGTGTGTGTGTGTGTGCGTGTGGAAGCTAACGTTTAGCTTTCGCCCTCCTGGCACAAAACGTTCCATTAAAAAAAGTGTATAATTAAGCGATTGAATCCTGCAATCCCATAGATGTACCCAAGTAAGAGGTCCAATATTTAAATATTCAAATTTTCAAGACTGAGGTGGATAGATATTTGTTAGGTCGGGGTATCCCGGGATATGGGGCAGGGCGGGTAATTGGAGTTGAGGTCCATATCAGCCATGATCAAATAGAATGGCGGAACAGGCTTGAATGACTGAATGGCCTCCTCCTGTTCCTATGTCCCGAGTACCAACTTCCCCATGCAATGAAACAGGAGTGCACTGGGCTCCCAGTGAATGGTGGGAAATCTGGCAATTTATTATTTGAGGATGATGTGGGCGTCCCTTCCAGCCTTGTTTTTCAAATGTAGTCCTTTCACAAGATGGTACTCCCTCCGAAGGTAGGCGTAGAAGTAATCGGAAACTAGCAAGATCTACGGAGGGATAATAGACATTACCTTTTAATAACACATCAACGTTAATACTCACCTCATTGTTATTTATACACGGTTAGCTGCCCGTATTTGCCTCTATAAAATTCACTTCACTTCACATCAATTATATTTGTAAAGTGCTTTGAAGGTATGGACTAACTGCAAGTTAGTACCGTAACCCAGTGGTAGCCAACTCATGGCCCGCGGGCCGGAAGTGGCCCACGGGGACCATCAAGACGTGGCCTGCCGATCATTCGCTAATTGTCAAGGTAAGTCCGCGTTCAATCAATCCTGCGCTTCCAGTTCTTTCTTGATTTGAATATTTCTTGATTGATTGACGGTCCGAATCAAGTATTCGATCAGGAAAATGTATTTTGATGGATGACCATGGCTTTAACCCAATGGTTTCTCTTTGTTGTAGCTTTGCACCTTCTCTTTTCTAGCTCCCCACCACTTGGCAATGATGCCACTTAGTCAATCATTCATACTCACTCTAGCTAAACATACTCACTCAATCCAGTCTCTGTCTCTCCACTTAATTTACGAAGAAGAGCAGGCCTGCCGTGAGTGGGTGGAAGAAGCCAGGGGAGGATATTTGATACAGCACCTGGTGCTCGTGACAAGCTGAGCAGATGACAACACCGAACAGACACAGCACATGGTGTAAGATGTGCTCGTGGCACGGTAAACATGTTGTGCACTCGATCACGTTGCTGTCACTAAACACAACAACAACTTGCGCCTCGAGCACAATGTTTGTTGGATGGCACATCCATTGATATTCTTCCACTCAGCATTTGAGGTTAGTTAATTAGAAGGTGCATTATTTTTTTTAAAACATCAAATGCAATGCTAACTAATTAAACAGGGTAGAGTTACCCAGAGTACGATTCCTTACAAGTGTGTAATATTGCATTTCCAGGTGCACAGGCTCAGTTCTGCACATTTCAGGCCATTGAGAACAAAAGGTCTTTATACAGTAATGCCATATATTGCTCACGTTTGATCCATGTTGGATATCAGGCCTGGCAGAGATGGGTTGAAATCCAGACTTAATGTTTAACGCTTTGATGGGCTAAATGCCGTTTGTCCAATTCACCTTAAACAAGTACCAGCAAGTATGTTTTGAGGAAGTACTTCTGCTGCTGGTTTACAAACTGCTGTCAAAGGTTGACAGCTTGAGGCACCACACTGAAGGCACCTTCTAGTTAGCATACTAGCACTTTGTAACCACTTCCCATTCCTCCCACTGTTGGGGAAGCAAAGTCACTTAATGTGTGAATCGCTTTGCAAAGTTTTGACAGAATATCCAAAGGTTGTATTTATCTCCAAAGATATAGTTTAAAACCTTTATATAATTACAATCTAGGCTGAGGTTCCAGTGCAATGCTGGGGGAATTTCTCCTGGTGTCAAAGAGAATAATCCCTCTAGATAAATTAATAATCCTTATGTTTTGATATAGCGCCTTATCACTTCTTTGAGACATTTCAAAGCGCTTCACAAAATATTCTCTAAATTGAAATGACTGTATATTTATTTTGTCCACAAAATATGCAGTGTGGGCAAAATAAATATACAACACTGTAATAAATAAATTGCCCACAAAATTTATTGTACCAGAGGAACAATTTATTATTTCTCTCGTACAATAAGGAGGAATTCTGTGAAGCGCTTTGAGACGTCTCGAAGATGTGGTAAGGCACTATATCAAATGCAAGGATTATCATCAAGCGCTCCGGGACTCTACCGCGCGTGAAGAGAGCTACATAAACGCAAGTTGTTATTATTATTAAACAAAATTGATCAGAAAAAAGAAAATTTGACCTTAGTTATTATATTTTATGGGTGAATCGTGACAGTCAATTGCACACAGCAGTGTCCCACAAACATTTGTGGATTGAGTGACCATGCTTTGTTTATATAAAGGCTTGCTGTTTATATTTAAAAAATTATTGGTTAATATTATTATCTTTTTTAAAAATGGATTATTACCCCCGTAAAAGGGATCCGCCAATTGACTAACAACTGGGCTCCTATTTACTGCTAGGTAAACAGAGGTATGTGGAGTAAGGAAACTTGCCCAACGTTTCGCCCTGCTGGTAATCAAACCCAGGTCCTCTCTTACAATATATTTTGTGAAGCGCTTTGAGGCGTCTTGAAGACGTAATAAGGTGCTATATCAAATGCAAAGATTATTACAATAGTCTCTGCACTTCACAGTAAATCCTGTGAAGCACTTTGAGATGTCCTCCCAAAGTTAAAGGCGCACACCAATATCAAATGCAAGGATTATTATTATTACTATAACACACCGACCTGTCCAACATTGAAGGCTAGGGTGATGGCATAGTAGAAGTTGGAGTTGGCACTGCCAGCATAAATCCAAAGGTGCCAAAGGACCGGAAACAGAAAGGATGTTGTGATCAGAATGCACGTCACCACAAAAATGTTCCGCAGGACTGAAAAATAAAATTAAAAACCAATTATTTGGCCATTTTCCTCCTGCAAGTGCCTCTCTGGAAGATGAAGTAACTGGCTTGGTAACAAAGCTACTAGGAAGCAGTGAACTGCCTGAAGACCATTAAGTTGGCTGGCACGTCATGAGCTGTCCCGTAAAGGTTCTCCCATCACTCTGAAATGTCAGATACCTGATGATGAAACTCTTTAAGGCTTGGGGTGACAGCTGTTGGAAGAAGTTATCTGGAGTCTGAGTTTGTGAACACACATTCTTAGAATCCACCTTGATCGATTTGTAAAGAAGCAAGCAGATGCTGCTAAAGCAACACCTTTCCAACTGATGGAATCATCGCTCAATGGGAAGGGATGTGTGGCCAAGCTGCTGGCAGGAAGATGGTGGCAATACTCTCCTGCATTTCATGTTGAGCTGTGCTTCCCACCAGGAAGCTCGTAGGGAGTTTCTGGTACCTGCCATCCACCTAGTGAGGGCTCAAATTCACACTTGTTGGATTATTCTCCTTGGGGTGAGGGGCAAGCGGGGTCTTTTTGGAGCTAAGATGGCTCCAAGATGACATGTTTGGCAACAGAATGTAGGAATCAAGCCTTGGCTCCTGCCAACATGCGCTGAATACTTTCTGGAATTAGGTAAACAGGATGCGTCCCTCCAGGGAGAGAGTGCTCATTCCATTCTAATAAACATTTCTGGAGTTTCCATGTATAGGTGGGATGCATAGAACTCTCAGTTTGGTTTAGGTACTCTTAAGTATGGTAATGGGTTCACTCATGTGTCAGACACCTTATAACCCTTCTCCATACTGATCCACTTCTACCAGATACCAAATTTTCACAACAGGAAAACAGAACAAAAAGGTTTCAAAAAGAAATAAGGTAACAAACTGTAAACAAGCACAGACTTGACGGAACAAATCAGCCCATTTCTGTGCTGTAATATTCTGTGGGTGTATGGAATGTCGGGCAATTGTGGTGATGCCTAATGTTTATCAAGTGTTCCGAATGTCATCAGAACTGAGCTGATTGAGTTACTGGCATGTAACTTGCTACCAGTCACTTACTATCATCCTTTATTTATTGTGCACAGCCTTTTGCAGGATGCAGTGACCTGGACAGCTCAGACACCCATCCCTTCCCTTTGAATGATGGTTCCACCAGTTGGAGCTTGAGCAGCAGCTGCTTTCCTCTTCGCAAGCCATTTGAAAAGATTTGCTCTTACATTTCAGTGCAACACGAGGTGTGTTCCGACTGTCCTGTACTTACATCTGTAAAGGTGGCTCCACATGGGGAGCAATGCCATGTACATGGCTACATCTCCTACGGTCGGGTAGGACTTAAAGATGGCAATGATCGCGATCTGAATGAACATGAAGAACATGGGATGGTCCCTGCGGGAAACACAATAAAGAGAAGCAGAACGTTAGTTATCTGGAGAAGGGGAGATTGTGGTCAACCCAAAGCGCAAACATTCTCAGAACAACAACAAACAACAAATTACATTTGTACAGCACCTTTCACATCAGGAGGATGTCCCAAGGCGCTGGACAGTCATTGAACACTACTTCAGTGAGCGAATGGTAAATATATGGAACAGGCTCCCTAAGGAGCCTGTGAAGCAGAAAGTGTTGATTCTTTCAAAAGCAAATGAGGTAAGATTTATTTTTTTAGGAAATAATATCTTGGGATACACATATAGCTTGGGACATGACATGTGCATGCAACTGCTAGGATAGTGGAAGGTGAACTGGATGGACCTTGGTCTTCTTTTGTCTAGCGATTCTTATGTTCATATGGAACATGGTAAATCAGCATACCTAATGGAAATTGGTCAATTTAACAGCACAAGTGAACGAAATGGGATTGAATTTCCTCTACAATAATCACTTGTTGTGGAATGAACAAGGGACATGTAACATTGTGAAACCCAGTCACATACTGAAAGCACAAAAAACAGAAATGACCGAAACAAACAGACTCTTACCTTAACTTCAGTGAGAGTGGGAGAGTGTAGAAGAAAACGTTGATTTGGAACACAAACAAGAAGAACAAGCGGAAGTGCTCAAACATCTCGGCAAAGAAATACCAGAACAGACCGATGTTTGGGGTGAGATCTGGAACAGAAAGGCTGGAGAAACGGGTGCAGAGAACACAAAATAAGTTGTTAAACCATGAGCTGAGATAGGAATTTCTCTAGATGCAATACATCACACTCACAGGGTCAAACCTTCAGGAGTGAAGATAACAACAACTTGCATTTATATAGCGCTCCCTCATTCAGGGTAGCGTCTCAGAGTGCACAATTGTGGAGAGGAGATAATCCTCAGGGACTAAAGGGCTTGGCTTCATCAGATTCCCAACCACAAACAGAGTGAGCTCCTCTTTGCACAAGGGTTTCCAGCAGTGGGTTATAGTCTTCAGGTACAGGTTAATTATGTATAGCTCCTTCACACTGAACTGCACATCACTACCCCAGTGATCCTTGAATCTTTTTACACATCCTTGGAAGCATTATTTCTTCACCAAAACCCACGTGTTACAATTGTTGCCCTTTAAGGAGAGCTGAAGAGCTGAAATCTGAAAAGAGTCTGAATTGAGAAGTGTCTCTGGGCCAATATATTTCATCTCATTCTCCACAGACACAACTCCCCCAGTGGGTGGATAGAGAGACTACAACTGGTCTCACATTGAGGAAATGGCAGGGGAAAAAACAGCTCATGTTCCAAGCTGATATTTTTTTACACACGGGCCAACACCATTCTAACATGTCCTTGTTTAGCACAGGACAGCTTATTGAGTGGGTGTTTGTGGGACACTTCTGAGCGCAATTGGGGTTGCTGCGTTTCGCCCACACAACACACAAGTCACTACACTTTACAGCATATGTTGTGAATCGCTTTGAGACGTCTCGACTATGTGATAAGTCGCTACATCAAATGGAAGGATTATTATTATGGTAGACCCACTGCACTGGAAGCACGGTACTTTCTGGTTTCTGCTGCTTGACGTCGCGAAGGTACCAACGTCAGCGGTACTACCTGTACATAGTATACATGCACTGGAATGTGTGCAGGAAGCGATGTCAGGGAAGTGACCCGACGACCTAGAAGTACTGGCAGGCAGCCATTTTTTAACCAGCCTCATTATAAGGGTGGGGGGGATGGGGGGGCTGGGTTAATGGAGTGGGGGGAGAGGGAGAAAGCGAGGCCCAGTGCTAACATTTTTGGGTGCGGGCATTGTTTGGTTGAACTCACGTGAAGCCGTAAACGGAAGGAATGAAATCCCAGGAACTCAGCAAGAAGAAGGAAAGGCACGTGGTCACGAGCAGGCAGCCCAGGAACATCATCGCGTACTTGACGGAGTACGCCCAGAACGCAGGACATTTCAGGCTCACGAACAGGTAGTGTTTCTGTGGTAAAAGTTTAAGAAAGAATTACATCAGCACGCTTGGCGACGTTTCAAATTCGGTGTTTCTTTATAACTTATTTTGTCCTTTCAAGCGTTTTTAAAATGTGAGCAGAATAAAGCAGCCACTCACCTGTGCAAGGTATAGTAATCCTGGGGCAAACAGGGTGATAGTGTATAAGGACTGATATGTCGATAGAGCCAGGAATATCGCACTGAGGAAGGCACTTCCTGCAAACGGTGGGGGTGGGGGGAGGAGGGGACGGAAAAAAAACCAAGAAAATCAGACGTTTCTAATTCAAAGGAAGTTTCAGGAGCAATAGAGAAGGCACATCATAGTAATGGTCAGGTTTCACCCACAAATATAGTCAATCCACTTTCCAATATATTTGACTGTCTCAACGATGTGATAAGACACTATATCAAATCCAAGGATTATTATATTATATAATAAGAACATAAGAAATGCTGGATGAAAAAAGACCAAGATCCATCTAGTTCGCTTTTGACCTTCCTGGCGGTCGCAGGCACATATGTCCCAAACTACCTATATCCCATTATGTTATTTCCTGCTTCAACCGTCTCTCCAGGGAGCGTGTTCCACAGGTTCACTATTCACTCACTGAAATAGTGTTTGCGTAGATTTGTTGTGAATTTACCCGCTTCAATCGCAGGGTGGGTGAGAGACCAACTCTCTGGGCCATACTGAGGCCTCTAGTAACACTTGATTTTAATGTGCGCTTAGTTTGTGCTGGGGAAGGGCAGGGGAGGGGAGATAATACAGACAACTCACAAGCCTCACTCCCCAGTTTCTGCTCCAGCCCAGTGACCAAGAAGCGAGTGCCGCTTTCACACTTCATTGCATACTCTTACAACAAACGTTTAAGCGAAGTCTTACCTTTCACAGTTGCTAACATGAAAGCTGCGATGATGGCATTATTGATGGCACAGGTGGATTTTGCCACGCAGGTGAGCACAGTGAAAGGATTCAGCATGTAGCTGGAAGAGAACAGAAAGCTCTCTTTACATGACTCATTTTGTAGTGGTTTTGCAAAGAGGAGATAAAGCAGATACTCATTCCTCCTAACAAAGAGTGAGGCTGGAAGATTATTTTTATACACAGGGTGTTATTGGGACACGGAATGCTTTACTAAAGATGGTCATTGAAGTAGAATCGACAACAGCTTTAGAAAGGAACTAGACAATATTTGAAAAGGACAAACATGAAAGGATGTGGATAAAAGGTTGGAGAATGGGATTAAATAGATGGATCTTTCAGTGAAACAACACAGACATAATAGGCCAAATGGCCTCCCGTGCTGTGTAATTATAGTGATCTGTGTCTTGAATGGAAACTGTACAGAAGTGAACTGTCTGTCTTGAGGACATTATGTGGCGTCCTGTAGCTTAGTGGTCAGAATACTCGCCTCGCAAGCAAGAGGACTTGGGTTCTGTTCCTGGGTAGGGCAAAACCTTAGGCAAGTTTCCTTACTCCACACCTCTGTTTACCTAGCAGTAAGATGGAACCCGATTGTTATTCAATTGGCAGTTTGCTTTTCTGGGGGTAATAATTCCTTCAAATTGAATAAAAATAATTTGGTCACTTCAATCCACGACTGTTTGTGGGACGCTGCTGTGCGCAATTGGTTGACCCGTTTCACCCACAAAATATACAGTTAATTCACTTTACAGTATATTCTGTGAAGCGTTTTGAGATGTCTCGAAGACGTGATAAGGCGCTATATCAAGTGCAAGGATTATTATCATTATGTTCAGGTCATTCTTTGACACACTTTACACTTCATCTTAACTTGGCAAGATAGATGGTGAACGGTCACATTCATCTGTAACCCCTACAATCAGATAGTAATTATTGAAAATGATCGGTAAAGATTTGGAATACAAAGCGTTAAAATAAGTTGTGTATTTAACATAATCGGACAATTTTACTTAACCCTCCACAGTAACAATCAGGCTAAAATATTCAATTTGCTCCATATTGAAAAATGGCTTCATTGATCAGAATATATTGATCAAACCTTATAGTTTGTGGGGACTGAGTGCGGGGAGCGTACTGTCAAAGGTGACAGAACGATCTGCAATTGTGTTAATCCAATTGATACTCAAAGATATACTGAAAGCTTTTATATTTTTGGATGCAGTTCTCCCGTTTCCTAAGGCAGTTTTGTTCTGCTTAGATGCCACAGAGATTGGAAATTTGCCTGAGAGCCAAACCAGGATGGGAGTCGGTAAAAGGGCCTGACTCTGAGTGCAGACATCACAGTAATAAACATGACAACATGCCTTCTTACTTACAACAGTGCTACCTTAAGAGGAATATGACACATTTCCTTCGCAAGGATTATTATTATTATTAATTTCAGGTCTCACATGCTGAACAAGTTAAAGTCCCACCCACAACATCATAGTTGAGGCAGGGCATTACAATTTGAATGGAAATACATCACACGCCTAACTCTAGGAATATCACAACAGCACTTAACAGCAACCGCCTAGTTTGTAGTAATGAAACGTCATAAAAATATGCAAAAGGACACACCTGTCCAGTGTCTCTCTGCGTGTCATGCAGAGCTTTCTGACATTCTAGTCAGGGATTAATCTATAATTACTCCTTAGCTCAATAATGTGCTGAATCATTTTTACGTGGGACGGGTAAAACAAGAAGTAATAATTACAATATTTACATTTGATACAGAGCCTTGCGTGTCAGGGTGGCATGTCAAAGCACTTTGCAGGATTCATTGTAAGGTGTATTGATTGCGTGCTTATAACAACAACAAGATTACATTTGTATAGCACCTTTCACGTCAGGAGAACATCCCAAAGCACTGATAAGCGAGTCGAAGGAAATGTGTCATATTCCTCTTAAGGTAGCACTGTTGTAAGTAAGAAGGCATGTTGTCATGTTTATTACTGTGATGTCTGCACTCAGAGTCAGGCCCTTTTACCGACTCCATCCTGGTTTGGCTCTCAGGCAAATTTCCAATCTCTGTGGCATCTAAGCAGAACAAAACTGCCTTAGGAAACGGGAGAACTGCATCCAAAAATATAAAAGCTTTCAGTATATCTTTGAGTATCAATTGGATTAACACAATTGCAGATCGTTCTGTCACCTTTGACGTACGCTCCCCGCACTCAGTCCCCACAAACTATAAGGTTTGATCAATATATTCTGATCAATGAAGCCATTTTTCAATATGGAGCAAATTGAATATTTTAGCCTGATTGTTACTGTGGAGGGTTAAGTAAAATTGTCCGATTATGTTAAATACACAACTTATTTTAACGCTTTGTATTCCAAATCTTTACCGATCATTTTCAATAATTACTATCTGATTGTAGGGGTTACAGATGAATGTGACCGTTCACCATCTATCTTGCCAAGTTAAGATGAAGTGTAAATGTGTCAAAGAATACCTGAACATAATGATAATAATCCTTGCATTGATATAGCGCCTTATCACGTCTTCGAGACATCTCAAACGCTTCACAGAATATACTGTAAAGTGAATTAACTGTATATTTTGTGGGGAAACGGGCACCAATTGCGCACAGCGACGTCCCACAAACAGCGTGGGTTGAAGTGACCAAATTATTTTTATTATTTGAAGGAATTATTACCCCCAGAAAAGCAAACTGCCAATTGAATAACAACGGGTTCCACTTACTGCTAGATAAACATAGGCATGTGGAGTAAGGAAACCTGCCTTCAAGTTTTGCCCTACCCGGGAATCGAATCTGGGTCCTCTTGCTTGTGAGGCGAGTATTCTGACCACTAAGCTACAGGACGCCACATAATGTCCTCAAGACAGACAGTTCACTTCTGTACAGTTTCCATTCAAGACACAGATCACTATAATTACACAGCACGGGAGGCCATTTGGCCTATTATGTCTGTGTTGTTTCACTGAAAGATCCATCTATTTAATCCCATTCTCCAACCTTTTATCCACATCCTTTCATGTTTGTCCTTTTCAAATATTGTCTAGTTCCTTTCTAAAGCTGTTGTCGATTCTACTTCAATGACCATCTTTAGTAAAGCATTCCGTGTCCCAATAACACCCTGTGTATAAAAATAATCTTCCAGCCTCACTCTTTGTTAGGAGGAATGAGTATCTGCTTTATCTCCTCTTTGCAAAACCACTACAAAATGAGTCATGTAAAGAGAGCTTTCTGTTCTCTTCCAGCTACATGCTGAATCCTTTCACTGTGCTCACCTGCGTGGCAAAATCCACCTGTGCCATCAATAATGCCATCATCGCAGCTTTCATGTTAGCAACTGTGAAAGGTAAGACTTTCGCTTAAACGTTTGTTGTAAGAGTATGCAATGAAGTGTGAAAGCGGCACTCGCTTCTTGGTCACTGGGCTGGAGCAGAAACTGGGGAGTGAGGCTTGTGAGTTGTCTGTATTATCTCCCCTCCCCTGCCCTTCCCCAGCACAAACTAAGCGCACATTAAAATCAAGTGTTACTAGAGGCCTCAGTATGGCCCAGAGAGTTGGTCTCTCACCCACCTGCGATTGAAGCGGGTAAATTCACAACAAATCTATGCAAACACTATTTCAGTGAGTGAATAGTGAACCTGTGGAACACGCTCCCTGGAGAGACGGTTGAAGCAGGAAATAACATAATGGGATATAGGTAGTTTGGGACATATGTGCCTGCGACCGCCAGGAAGGTCAAAAGCGAACTAGATGGATCTTGGTCTTTTTTCATCCAGCATTTCTTATGTTCTTATTATATAATATAATAATCCTTGGATTTGATATAGTGTCTTATCACATCGTTGAGACAGTCAAATATATTGGAAAGTGGATTGACTATATTTGTGGGTGAAACCTGACCATTACTATGATGTGCCTTCTCTATTGCTCCTGAAACTTCCTTTGAATTAGAAACGTCTGATTTTCTTGGTTTTTTTTCCGTCCCCTCCTCCCCCACCCCCACCGTTTGCAGGAAGTGCCTTCCTCAGTGCGATATTCCTGGCTCTATCGACATATCAGTCCTTATACACTATCACCCTGTTTGCCCCAGGATTACTATACCTTGCACAGGTGAGTGGCTGCTTTATTCTGCTCACATTTTAAAAACGCTTGAAAGGACAAAATAAGTTATAAAGAAACACCGAATTTGAAACGTCGCCAAGCGTGCTGATGTAATTCTTTTCTTAAACTTTTACCACAGAAACACTACCTGTTCGTGAGCCTGAAATGTCCTGCGTTCTGGGCGTACTCCGTCAAGTACGCGATGATGTTCCTGGGCTGCCTGCTCGTGACCACGTGCCTTTCCTTCTTCTTGCTGAGTTCCTGGATTTCATTCCTTCCGTTTACGGCTTCACGTGAGTTCAACCAAACAATGCCCGCACCCAAAAATGTTAGCACTGGGCCTCGCTTTCTCCCTCTCCCCCCACTCCATTAACCCAGCCCCCCCATCCCCCCCACCCTTATAATGAGGCTGGTTAAAAAATGGCTGCCTGCCAGTACTTCTAGGTCGTTGGGTCACTTCCCGACATCGCTTCCTGCACACATTCCAGTGCATGTATACTATGTACAGGTAGTACCGCTGACGTTGGTACCTTCGCGACGTCAAGCAGCAGAAACCAGAAAGTACCGTGCTTCCAGTGCAGTGGGTCTACCATAATAATAATCCTTCCATTTGATGTAGCGACTTATCACGTAGTCGAGACGTCTCAAAGCGATTCACAACATATGCTGTAAAGTGTAGTGACTTGTGTGGTTGTGTGGGCGAAACGCAGCAACCCCAATTGCGCTCAGAAGTGTCCCACAAACACCCACTCAATAAGCTGTCCTGTGCTAAACAAGGACATGTTAGAATGGTGTTGGCCCGTGTGTAAAAAAAATATCAGCTTGGAACATGAGCTGTTTTTTTCCCCTGCCATTTCCTCAATGTGAGACCAGTTGTAGTCTCTCTATCCACCCACTGGGGGAGTTGTGTCTGTGGAGAATGAGATGAAATATATTGGCCCAGAGACACTTCTCAATTCAGACTCTTTTCAGATTTCAGCTCTTCAGCTCTCCTTAAAGGGCAACAATTGTAACACGTGGGTTTTGGTGAAGAAATAATGCTTCCAAGGATGTGTAAAAAGATTCAAGGATCACTGGGGTAGTGATGTGCAGTTCAGTGTGAAGGAGCTATACATAATTAACCTGTACCTGAAGACTATAACCCACTGCTGGAAACCCTTGTGCAAAGAGGAGCTCACTCTGTTTGTGGTTGGGAATCTGATGAAGCCAAGCCCTTTAGTCCCTGAGGATTATCTCCTCTCCACAATTGTGCACTCTGAGACGCTACCCTGAATGAGGGAGCGCTATATAAATGCAAGTTGTTGTTATCTTCACTCCTGAAGGTTTGACCCTGTGAGTGTGATGTATTGCATCTAGAGAAATTCCTATCTCAGCTCATGGTTTAACAACTTATTTTGTGTTCTCTGCACCCGTTTCTCCAGCCTTTCTGTTCCAGATCTCACCCCAAACATCGGTCTGTTCTGGTATTTCTTTGCCGAGATGTTTGAGCACTTCCGCTTGTTCTTCTTGTTTGTGTTCCAAATCAACGTTTTCTTCTACACTCTCCCACTCTCACTGAAGTTAAGGTAAGAGTCTGTTTGTTTCGGTCATTTCTGTTTTTTGTGCTTTCAGTATGTGACTGGGTTTCACAATGTTACATGTCCCTTGTTCATTCCACAACAAGTGATTATTGTAGAGGAAATTCAATCCCATTTCGTTCACTTGTGCTGTTAAATTGACCAATTTCCATTAGGTATGCTGATTTACCATGTTCCATATGAACATAAGAATCGCTAGACAAAAGAAGACCAAGGTCCATCCAGTTCACCTTCCACTATCCTAGCAGTTGCATGCACATGTCATGTCCCAAGCTATATGTGTATCCCAAGATATTATTTCCTAAAAAAATAAATCTTACCTCATTTGCTTTTGAAAGAATCAACACTTTCTGCTTCACAGGCTCCTTAGGGAGCCTGTTCCATATATTTACCATTCGCTCACTGAAGTAGTGTTCAATGACTGTCCAGCGCCTTGGGACATCCTCCTGATGTGAAAGGTGCTGTACAAATGTAATTTGTTGTTTGTTGTTGTTCTGAGAATGTTTGCGCTTTGGGTTGACCACAATCTCCCCTTCTCCAGATAACTAACGTTCTGCTTCTCTTTATTGTGTTTCCCGCAGGGACCATCCCATGTTCTTCATGTTCATTCAGATCGCGATCATTGCCATCTTTAAGTCCTACCCGACCGTAGGAGATGTAGCCATGTACATGGCATTGCTCCCATGTGGAGCCACCTTTACAGATGTAAGTACAGGACAGTCGGAACACACCTCGTGTTGCACTGAAATGTAAGAGCAAATCTTTTCAAATGGCTTGCGAAGAGGAAAGCAGCTGCTGCTCAAGCTCCAACTGGTGGAACCATCATTCAAAGGGAAGGATGGGTGTCTGAGCTGTCCAGGTCACTGCATCCTGCAAAAGGCTGTGCACAATAAATAAAGGATGATAGTAAGTGACTGGTAGCAAGTTACATGCCAGTAACTCAATCAGCTCAGTTCTGATGACATTCGGAACACTTGATAAACATTAGGCATCACCACAATTGCCCGACATTCCATACACCCACAGAATATTACAGCACAGAAATGGGCTGATTTGTTCCGTCAAGTCTGTGCTTGTTTACAGTTTGTTACCTTATTTCTTTTTGAAACCTTTTTGTTCTGTTTTCCTGTTGTGAAAATTTGGTATCTGGTAGAAGTGGATCAGTATGGAGAAGGGTTATAAGGTGTCTGACACATGAGTGAACCCATTACCATACTTAAGAGTACCTAAACCAAACTGAGAGTTCTATGCATCCCACCTATACATGGAAACTCCAGAAATGTTTATTAGAATGGAATGAGCACTCTCTCCCTGGAGGGACGCATCCTGTTTACCTAATTCCAGAAAGTATTCAGCGCATGTTGGCAGGAGCCAAGGCTTGATTCCTACATTCTGTTCCAAACATGTCATCTTGGAGCCATCTTAGCTCCAAAAAGACCCCGCTTGCCCCTCACCCCAAGGAGAATAATCCAACAAGTGTGAATTTGAGCCCTCACTAGGTGGATGGCAGGTACCAGAAACTCCCTACGAGCTTCCTGGTGGGAAGCACAGCTCAACATGAAATGCAGGAGAGTATTGCCACCATCTTCCTGCCAGCAGCTTGGCCACACATCCCTTCCCATTGAGCGATGATTCCATCAGTTGGAAAGGTGTTGCTTTAGCAGCATCTGCTTGCTTCTTTACAAATCGATCAAGGTGGATTCTAAGAATGTGTGTTCACAAACTCAGACTCCAGATAACTTCTTCCAACAGCTGTCACCCCAAGCCTTAAAGAGTTTCATCATCAGGTATCTGACATTTCAGAGTGATGGGAGAACCTTTACGGGACAGCTCATGACGTGCCAGCCAACTTAATGGTCTTCAGGCAGTTCACTGCTTCCTAGTAGCTTTGTTACCAAGCCAGTTACTTCATCTTCCAGAGAGGCACTTGCAGGAGGAAAATGGCCAAATAATTGGTTTTTAATTTTATTTTTCAGTCCTGCGGAACATTTTTGTGGTGACGTGCATTCTGATCACAACATCCTTTCTGTTTCCGGTCCTTTGGCACCTTTGGATTTATGCTGGCAGTGCCAACTCCAACTTCTACTATGCCATCACCCTAGCCTTCAATGTTGGACAGGTCGGTGTGTTATATAATAATAATAATCCTTGCATTTGATATTGGTGTGCGCCTTTAACTTTGGGAGGACATCTCAAAGTGCTTCACAGGATTTACTGTGAAGTGCAGAGACTATTGTAATAATCTTTGCATTTGATATAGCACCTTATTACGTCTTCAAGACGCCTCAAAGCGCTTCACAAAATATATTGTAAGAGAGGACCTGGGTTTGATTACCAGCAGGGCGAAACGTTGGGCAAGTTTCCTTACTCCACATACCTCTGTTTACCTAGCAGTAAATAGGAGCCCAGTTGTTAGTCAATTGGCGGATCCCTTTTACGGGGTAATAATCCATTTTTAAAAAAGATAATAATATTAACCAATAATTTTTTAAATATAAACAGCAAGCCTTTATATAAACAAAGCATGGTCACTCAATCCACAAATGTTTGTGGGACACTGCTGTGTGCAATTGACTGTCACGATTCACCCATAAAATATAATAACTAAGGTCAAATTTTCTTTTTTCTGATCAATTTTGTTTAATAATAATAACAACTTGCGTTTATGTAGCTCTCTTCACGCGCGGTAGAGTCCCGGAGCGCTTGATGATAATCCTTGCATTTGATATAGTGCCTTACCACATCTTCGAGACGTCTCAAAGCGCTTCACAGAATTCCTCTTTATTGTACGAGAGAAATAATAAATTGTTCCTCTGGTACAATAAATTTTGTGGGCAATTTATTTATTACAATCGTGTTGTATATTTATTTTGCCCACACTGCATATTTTGTGGACAAAATAAATATACAGTCATTTCAATTTAGAGAATATTTTGTGAAGCGCTTTGAAATGTCTCAAAGAAGTGATAAGGCGCTATATCAAAACATAAGGATTATTAATTTATCTAGAGGGATTATTCTCTTTGACACCAGGAGAAATTCCCCCAGCATTGCACTGGAACCTCAGCCTAGATTGTAATTATATAAAGGTTTTAAACTATATCTTTGGAGATAAATACAACCTTTGGATATTCTGTCAAAACTTTGCAAAGCGATTCACACATTAAGTGACTTTGCTTCCCCAACAGTGGGAGGAATGGGAAGTGGTTACAAAGTGCTAGTATGCTAACTAGAAGGTGCCTTCAGTGTGGTGCCTCAAGCTGTCAACCTTTGACAGCAGTTTGTAAACCAGCAGCAGAAGTACTTCCTCAAAACATACTTGCTGGTACTTGTTTAAGGTGAATTGGACAAACGGCATTAGCCCATCAAAGCGTTAAACATTAAGTCTGGATTTCAACCCATCTCTGCCAGGCCTGATATCCAACATGGATCAAACGTGAGCAATATTGGCATTACTGTATAAAGACCTTTTGTTCTCAATGGCCTGAAATGTGCAGAATG